CACAGTATACTTTTAAGTCTTATCCCACAATCTTATTTCTTTGGGTCATTGCTCTATTGCACCGTCACACTGAACTAGCAGATGCAGAGATATCAGTCCCGAAATCACATTTAAGGCATTAGTAGGTGAGCCTTTGTGCCCTCAGCCCTTAAGAAGACTTGTCTTAATGTCCATGCGTAGCAAATTCTCCATTTTAGTAGTGACAGTCATGCCACACATGTAGGCCCCATAAAGTGCAGTTCACTCTGTAACTACTCTGTACTACATCCTAAGTGTCCTAAGAAATTCCCCATAATTAATAACAGGAATGAAATAACCTGTGAAGTTGTCTCTTAACCTCCTTTAAATGTGGGATCCAAGTGAGTGTATCATCAGCAATTGATACACTCACTTGGATCCCACATTTCCCACACCATAACAAGAGGTTTCTGAGAAATATTTCATGTACCCGAGGAAGGGATGTCCCGGCTATGACGAACATTTTGAAACTTTTCTGAAAATGTTTTGTTCGCAGCTGTGTACCATGTAGAGATCGACCAATCAGACGAAAGTTCTGCTTTTGAAGGATCACGTGTAATTTTCAATATGGTAGCGGCTGCAATTGAGATCCTGAACGGTGGAAATAGAAGCCGATTTAATTGAAGATATGTGGAAAAAGCCATATATATTTTGCTATTTTGTTGTATAACTGTCTAAGTTATTTTTAAAATGTTTATATATTTATCATCTTTAAATTCAGAGTAGACATTGTTTTATTTTTAGAGTGCCATTTCTGAGATTTGTTACAATTTTTCTGTTTTCATGTGATCATTTGAAACGAATGTATTGTTTATAATAACTTTTTTTTAAATTTAAGGTTCAATAAATTTTTTTAATCTGTGTATGTGCGACTTTTTTCTGCTAACTATTGCTACTTTTAAATTGAAATTGTAATCAGATAGTATTTTATTAAATACTTATGTATAATGAGGATACACATTAAATTTGTCTGCTATTATCCTATTTATTATGCATGCTTTGGATATAAACACTTAAGACAATTTTTATTTAATGCTACATATTAAAACACTGGAAAGTATGGATTTATTTTATGATGAAAAACATTGTTACACATTCTTATAAATCTTATTCATTCATTAGTACTAATAAGCATGCATCAACATCTTCTAAATCATTTCATTCTCACTCTCTCTCTCTCTCTCTCTATGTGTATGTAAATATATGACTTATTAGATGTGTGTGTGTGTGTGTGTGTATATATATATATGAATACAAAAACGAGCATTCCCAAAAAGTTAATGTGAAGTTACTTCTAATTAATATACAGTCATGTAATTGACAGCAACTCTAGTCATCAGTTCTTTGCATATTATCATGGATATGGAATAGACAGTTGAAAAATAATTGAAGTGCATTTAGTGCATTGCAATAATCATTAAAATTCACCCATTTACACACAACCTTTACATTTGTAATTTACTTGGGAATTTAAACAAAAAAACTGAGCAAGTAGCCTTTATAAAATATTTAACATTTTGGGATAAAATAAATATTTTGCACTCATCACAAAGCATATATCAGTAAATGACATTATATTGTGTACATAAAAGTTATTAAATAAATATATGGATACAAAAATATTGTTTACAATAATAAAATCAGAAATAATGACAAATCACTGAATGTGCAATGTAAAAGTATTTACAAAAATATATACAACAGATCACTACAAGAATTGGAGTAAAAAAAAATATATACAATTTAAAAGTAACAATTAATGCAATAAACGCATGTAATTTTGCCAAGGTATTGAGCCAACAGTATTAAAATAATTACAAAATATCATTTGTATATATATGGAATTTGAAGGCAAACATACCTCTCACCAATCTGAGGGATAACTGATTCCTGTTTGGCTTTCAAGTCTGTTAACCAAGTGAAGATGGTAACCCGTTTTCTTGGAAACGCAGAAACTGAAAAATTTTTCTTTCGACATCATATTCCGGCAACAAATAGCATATGTGACAGGGGTTTAAGGTATCTCATGTTTCTCTGTTTTAATATTTTTGCACGATGTTCATCAATAGCGCGTACCAGAGGCCCGCCTCGGCATTTTGAGTTGGCAATAATTAGTTGCTTCATTTGGCCATCTTGTCCATTGCTTCTTGCAACCTAGTCTCATCTGCCTTACGGCAGTGCCTTTTGATAATTAGCAGAAAGTCGTCAGCATAAGCCAATACTTATGTGAGGATCTAGTATAGTAAAGAGATTCAGCACCATGCCAGCTGCAAGATCCCATAGCAACAGACCCAGAAAAGATCCTTGTATCACCATATTAATCTATAACCTGGCATTATGGTATAGAGTGCCATTAATATCAGTGCTGATCATGCTTAGTATGCCTTCTCAGTATGCTGAATAGCCATCATTATAGTGCTAAGATGATAGTGACCTTTGTTGCCCTTTATCCTCAGAGCTTACCTTGGGCCAATCACTGATAGAGTAGTGTGGAACTGCATGTGACATAGAACATCCATAAATTCCTGAGTACTATTGCATTCCATGTCTTGTTTGGCCATATGTATATTCACTGGTTGTGCTGCCTATTCAACATGCTTCATCCATGATTCCACAGTGGTCAGAGATCACCTGCTGCTCCAACAGATTGATTTGATTTTGCTAATATGTCAAAACTGTATGAACTGGTATTCCCCAAATGTACATCAAAGTTAACCTCTTTGTTTTTCAGACTTTATACTTATGGTGATTAAGTGAAATGCTGATTTATTTATGTTCTGAAAGTCAAACTGTGCTGTAATTGTAATCATTTCAGTCTTATGCTATTAATTATTTGTGTAATAATTATGCCTTTGGCAGCTCATCTTTTATAATGTTGTACTTCTTATAATACGGTATATAGGCCTTGTGAATTAACTACTTTTTAATCCTTGTTGGAAAATATGGGGCAATAAATGAACAGGAGATTATATATTTCTCTTAACTAATAAATTGTTTTAACCATTTAATAACAGATAATTCAAGTTAAAAGATATTTACATATCCCGTCGACCATGAAATAGTCACCAAGCAGGGCAATTTAGCACCAGTTACAGATAAGCATAATGTGGCAACACACTCATAACATGTACACTTTCGTTTAATGTAACCCAATTAATTCTCAATAATCCATGTTGTTTTTTGAAAAGGATATAGATTAACTATTATTGCTGTATTTTCCTCCTTTCATTTGGAAAAAAGTATTAAAATTTTGGGCCTTTTTTCTACAGAACAACAATCAATGTATTATTTTCAATATTGTGTGACCTTACCATCAAGAAAAGTGTGCATCAATGTGCACAATATGCTCAGCTGAATATGGTTGACAAAACAGTAATAGACTGAAACAATTACCTGCAAGAAGTTTATATTCATAACATTTGAAATAGAGCATCTGGCAAAATCGGGCTTCTTATAAAATAGTATAAACCATAAAAACCTTTTTACAAAGTGTAAAAATGAAGCAGGTCAAATACTGAATGTTTATTAAATAAAGAGGCACTAGTTCTTTCAGAATCCACAAGAATGTTTGATGCAACTTTGTTGGGATCTCTGCCAACTTTCATGGCCAGTGGGATATTACGTTAATGACCAGTAAAGATTAAGCAAAATTTTTGTTTACTCTGATTCTTTCAGAAATCTTAAATTGAGAATGCTAAACAATTTCATCGTTCTACTCATCTGTTGTATGTCCAGAGCTTTATTGAAATATTAATGGAATACTTGTCTTTCAAAAAAAATCAACACCATCAAGATTACCTATTAAGAATGTCTCAGAGAATGTGTGTGCTAATAGTAAGCTCTTCAAGCTGAAACATGAGCTTTTGCCTTAGACTTATATTATTGAAACTATTTTATTAAAGACTGCTTTCCCGAACATAAATTAAATAGATCTAGTAATAATAAAATAAAATAGTTCTAGAGAAGTTATGCTAGAATTCTGATTTTCGTTGATTGCTTCTAAATTTCGATTTGTATTTGTGAAATATTTAACTGTATCCTCTACATTTTTCAGGGTCAAATAACTGCTAGCAATCTCCTGCCAAAAATTAATGAAGCTGCTCAAAAGGATTCTGTGATACTACAGGCTGAAGAAAAAGAGGCAAAGCAGAAGTTTACTGATGAAAATGCCTTAGGTTTGATTTTATAAACTTCATGTTTTTGTAATTAATGGCAGATTAATAATTTTTAATATAGATTGTGTTAGATTTTATGTATGGAAATATCCAAGGAAAGTTGTATTTGCCATGCAAAAATATTTGAGTGCTTATTTGTTGTTTTAAGTATAGTTTTTATTCCTGTTTACAATTTTACTGTTACTAGAACAGAAACTAAAATACTGTTGAGAAATGTGAATCCTCTGTGCTTTGATGGGTTTTCAGTGCGCCCAGAAATGGGATATAAGCCAGTATTAACTTCTTCCATTTCTGAATGATTGAATGTAATTATTTAACATCTGAATTATCAATGCGAAGAAAACTGTTAATGCCGAACTTGGCCCGGGGGCGGGAGTAAAATAAGCTTCTAACTCCAGACATGTCTTTTGAACTGTAAAATAAAAATAAGTTTCTGTTTAAATGAGCTGGATATTAAGCTGATAAGTTAAGCTAATCCAGTCTAGTTCTCTTCTGATTTTCAAAATAAAACTTTACTCCTCATTAGTCATGGGTAAGGTAGGATGGTGGTTGCTCTCTCTGGTACAATTCATTTGATATTTTACTTTTCCTAATCAATATGTTTTCATCTCATGTTGCTGAAATACTGTACATAGTTGCTGAAATACTATATTATTTATTGACTCACTAACTTCTTTGCTTGGTATCACACTTAAATGAACACATGGCTTTGTAAAATAATGGTTCAGATTTTGAAATTGTTATAGTTTTTATTACAATATAAAATCTGAAATCCAGGACTTTGGACTACCAGCAGTTTTTCTTTTCTTTCTCACCCTCCCTTTTTTCATTCCATAAAGTCTAGGAATGGAGAACAAAATACTGAAGAAAAGTAAAGTTTAGATTTTTAATTATGCCAAAAATAATATCTAATTTTGGAGCTGCAGCAAGATCTGTAGCATGTTTCATCCATGTTGACAAATTGCCAAGATGCAACGGCAAATATTTTGTTTCTTAATTGTGTTGTAAAGACATCATTAAAAGTTACCTCATTGCAACTACCCAAACCAGTTTGCAATATCTTTGTTATGTCATGGATTACTTGGATGTCCAAGATTTCAAAGTAAGATCTACAATTTTGGCAAATGCTGCAGGAGCATACAAATGTCAGTTAATCTTAAAAAAACACACATCGGGTATTTTAAAGGAGTAATTATTTGCCTTATCATTCAAATAAAAGAATATGGATGACACAGAAATTAATGAATAATGAAAAAATTCTTCTTATTATGGACATCTTCACTTACAGTTTTAGTAAAGGCAATGTCCCCATTTTATTCTTTACACCAAATTGTTCATCCACTATTTAGCCAATGGTAATAATGGGGGTGTGATTGCTGAAATGCTGATATGAAGTCTTCTTCTTCTTCAATGGCCAGAAAGCCCAGGGTGGAGCCTTGCCTTCCTCAGAAATTCCAAGCTCTTCTATCCTTGGCCATGGACATCCATTTAGTTATTTTTAAAATTCTTAAGTTTGTTTCCAAACAATCAAGCCACATAAGTTTAGGTCTCCCTCTTTTTCGAGTGCCAAATGGTCTGGCCGAGATCTTTTTAGTTACACAATTTTCATCCATTCTGCACAGATGTCCTGCCCATTTAATTCTCTAAATCCGTATATATTTTACTATATCTAGTTCTTTAGAAGATTTATAGAGTTCAGAGTTAGTTCTTCTCCAGATATTGTTGCTGATATGAAGTAGCTTTTTAAAAATCTTTGCTAAATTTTTTGAATAATGTCAAGACCCTTTAATAATTTTTTTAAATATTTTTACATAAAATGCATTGTGTGAAGCATTGCAAGATCTTCAAAGGATGTGTCTGCTTATGTTTCAAATAATGCTTGGTTGAGCTGGTTCCAATAGCTATGCTATTCAGAGAGTTAAAGAGAAAATATGAGCACACACACACACACACAAAAGAACAGCTTAAGCAACTTACACTGCAAGAAGTTTTTAATATAACAAATAAATGCTGAGTATTTTTTTTTGGGGGGGGTAAATTTTAATTCCCATAAGGTCATAAATGCTTCATTATTTAAAGCAACTTTATATTATACACATATAGTATATATATATATATTCATGTGAATGTATGTTTCATGTTTTTCATGTATATATATAATTTTTCATGTCATCTTAAAGATTTATACTCATGATTTAAAATCCAGAATCTCTGAAGTCCCAACAAATCCGAATCTAAACCTTTGCACCGTCCTATATTAATATTCACCTAATAGTGTCAGGTCTACTTGGTGTACTGTAGAGTTTGTCCAGATGTGATCTTGTAGGTGACAGAATAATTTGCAGATCATATTCTGGTTGCATCAATCTAATTTTAATTGTAGAAAGTACTGGTTCACAGCAGTATGGCATTAAAAGGGAAGTAAGTTTTCTTATCACCTCATTTCCTTTCATCGTATAGCAACATGGCACACATATCTAAAATGATGCTACTGAAATTTTTTTAAGAATTTCTGACAGTGTGGCTTGATTTTTTTGTCTGGCAGGAAAACTAATTAAATTTGAAGCATTATTGTATTATGGATGTTCACAATTTGAAATCATTGCATTTATCCTATCAAAAACTAAATACTTATGCAGGTACTGACAGCATAATGTAACCTTTCTTAAAACAATATTGATTAGTATGTTTCCTGTTAATATGCAATAAAATTATTTGTGGTGCCTTTCTGAATGTCTTAAAATTTATGTTAAATTTAGAAGTTTCGTTCCTTACATTTTGAGATTTTTATGACACTGTGGAGTGTCTGAATGCTCCAGTTTGAAAATATTGTGTTACTCAATCTAATCAGCCAGTCTCTTTTATTTGCAAGTAAAATATCAAAATCAATGCTTTAAATCATGATTTTAACTGGCAGATTTTTTTAAAATATTTATTAAAATTATAAATTCTCCCATGTTTTAAATAAGAAATAGTTTGAAATCAAAGCTTAAGATAATCTTTAAGGCTTTTAAAGAGCTTTCTAATTACTGATAACAGAAAATAGAAAAGAAGGAAAATTATTAAAATATTTTAAACAAACCATGTGAGTGCAATGCAAGAAAATGTGCCAGTTATATATTTTTTTAGTTGCAAGCTTAAATCTAATGTTGACTATATTTGTTCAGAACATGTGGTATACTATCTAAGTAAATGTCTTGAAAAAACACCAGCTTCTCAAAAATCCAAAATAGATCAAATAGTTAAATTTTTAATGCTATAAATGCATCATTTAGTAATGTAAAGAAACCCTCATTTTATAAAATGAATGGAGATGTTGCATTCTACAGGTAAACTTTAATCTAAAAGTGGCTTAAAAGGTAAACTGTATATGCTATACCGGGTGGTTATAATTAAACTTTCCTTATAAACGGTATCCTGCAGTGCAAACGGGTGAACGGAATGCAACGAAATTTTGTATATGGGCTATACACAAGATGAGCTTGTTGAATTTCGGGGGGGGGGAGTCCATTTCGGAAAAAAAGTTAATTGCAATGCTTATTTTAATCATGTTTTCAAAATATTTCATTATTGTATTACTATAGATTTTTTTTCTTTTCCTTTTTTGGTTACATTATATATCAATTGTAAATGTAGATGAAGAAGAATTTGATATATTAATGATGGAGAACCCAGAATTATTAAGTCACCCTGCTACACCAACATCAAGGAAGAATTCTGTGTAAGTAAAAGCCTGGCTCTGTTTGTATTCTAACATAAACAATTTGTATTAAAAGAACTGTGTGATAACCTCAATACAGTCTTTTGTACCATAATATGTTTTAAGATATTTCCTGTATTATCTTAAAATCCTGAAATTATTGGGCATTTATTTTAGGTATGGCAGCATGATGTGATACATGTTAAGCCACATGCCAGTCAGTATCTAACAATTAATACAAAAAACATAAAATTTTCATGTGTTAATTTTATGAATATTACTTTATCTTATACAATATATATTCTGAAACTCAGTCATCCAGTATTCAGAATAACCCAATACCTAAATAATGATTAATAAGTGGTGTCAAGTTAATTTCTGATGTTACTACTAAAGTGAGAAAATGCTCCATCGGACTGGAGCCACATTTCATGTGCAAACAGCTGAAGTAACATCAGAAAGATGTTCAGAAGACTAGTTAGAATATATGGTCTTCTTAAACAGTTATGTGCCATGCCAGTCCAAACATTAATAGAGGAATATTTTTGTTGGGCATGTTATCTTGCGTTTGATACGATAAGCTGTAGGTGACTCATGGAGACTTCCATGAGCCCTTTGTAAAGTTCGTCTCTAAATTGCAAGCCCCTTGTTTTTATTTTCTTCCTTAGTTTTTACTGGAAAAACAAATTTGGGTCTCTCAGCCTTTCCTGTAAGTACAGTATTCTAAAATTTCAAGTATTGTAACGTATGTGCATTACAATTTTATTGCACGTAATTCTAAAATTTCAAGAGGCATTAGGACGTGCTGTCTGTTTTCAATAAATGTATTATTTGGTATCAAATTGTTTAGGATTTTAACATTAAATTATGTCCCAGTGTTTAATTTTCCATTAAAAGGTGAAGGGTACAAGATTTTCTTCTTTGAGTATACAGCATACATCATATATAAAGGCAACTTCCTTAAATTTAAAATTCTTAACCTTACATAAAAACTGTGTGAAAAATCAATGCTTGGTCCAAGAACCTCCAAGAAAATCAATAAATGAAAGAAGAAAACTGTACTGCATGATTACTTGTTGTACTGCATGATTAAATTTACTCTTTATTTTATTTATTTATTTTTTAAGATCGCAAGATTTTTCAATGTATTTTTTTAAGCAAAACGTTTGGAATGATGTATCTTACTTTTATAAGGTAAAGTATTGTTAGAATATTCACAGTTCATCACTGATTATCATTTGCACAAATATGAAACTTTTGGGCATCAAATATGCAAATGTAACCTCATCAGTGAATGAAGCATACAAAGGTAAGTTGAGGTTTGCTGAAGCCTGTGATAGGTACCATTGGGTAAAATTAGCATCCAGAATAATCACCTGGTTTCATTACCAGCATTCTTTGAAAATGATGTGGATGCATTTCTTGCTTATTTAAAGTTGCCGAAATGGTTGGCTCATGCCCAATGTATATCCAACAGCTCTTGTAGCAGAATTATTCTCAAATGTATGTATTATTACAATTGGAGTATTCTGTGATATATTCCCCTGCCCACATCATGCCTACAAACATGAAACAATCCAATTTTGCACTGCAGCTACTTAATAGACTCAAACCTTTTCAGTATAGCATCAGTCTATTTGAGAATCATTCTCTGCTTAGCGTTTGAAAATCTTGCTCTGTTTCCATCTGTAGCAACATAGAGGAGATATATGTTCGCTAGCTCTAAATTTATATACTGGTGTGTACTGCTCTAAATTTGTACTGGAAATGACAATTTACACCAACAGATGTCTCACTTAGCAGTCCGAACAGTGTCTCTACCACCTCAAGCTGCCATTTCTGCAACTTATTCCATTCCAGAATTTGCTTATTTTTGGTCCCTGTATCCACTCCTATGTTTCTGTCAGTTATTTTAGAATCAACCCATTTATATGTACATATATGAAGAACTAATAGAATATGAAGAATACTAAAGTATCTGGCAGATTTTGTAATGGAAAAAATGCTTTGATGTGGGAGAGGGCACTGTTGGGATTTGCTGTCATAAATCATTGCCCCCCATGTGGATTTTAAGTATCACTATTTGAACAAAGCCCATGTATTTTATCATGTATTTTTTCTGTGGAGCTGCTGCCAATAAAAGGAGCAGCTGTTCAAAGGATGTACAATAATAGATTCTCGAGTAGTCAGCTGCCAAACAACAAAACATTTGAACATATTAACTGGAGGCTGTGTCAGTGTAGGCCATGCTGTGTTTGTAGGTGTGGGTAGAAAAATCTATTGCAGAATTCCTACAGTGGAGAAAGCTGGAATATGTATATCTGAGGATAATCCTGCTACAGACATGAGAGCTGCTGAACATACATTGGATGTGAGCCATCCAGCTGTTTGGTGGGCACTGAAAAAAGAAGAAATGCAACTATATTATTTGCAGAGTGCAGGCATTGTAACCACATGAGTATCCACAATTGGTTAAATTTTCTTTTTTTCTTTTTTTAATGAAGTGAATCCTATATTTTCATACACTGTATTCAATGACAAGGCTGTGTTTAACAGGCACAGCAAACATGCCAAACTCAAAATTCAGAAGTTTTTCATTATAGTGGTTAGCCCAACTGGCTGTTATTGTGTCTGGATTTGAATCCCGGAGAAGATATAAACACATTTTAAGTATATGGTGTTTGCAGTATGGGAGCGCTTAAAACACTGGTTTGCCAAAAGTCCTGAGAGGTTTGGTGGTATGTAAAGAATGGTTGGAGACCCTCAGATCCATCTCCTCCATCAAAATGGGAATGGAACTTTCATCTTTTCACAGGTAGAAAATTGGTATCCCTTGTGTGGTGCACCTTGGGTAATGTTTTCAGTGATAAGATGGCTAAATGACTAAGGGATTCAGCTTTTCTTGACAAATTCTTAGCTAGCACAGTATCTAATCATTGGGGGGGGGATGAAAATGTAGTCTAAATTTGAAATGCAGCTAGTACTAAAATGTGTTCATGTATTGAAAAATATTTTTATTATCTGAAGTGCATTAAAGAAATTGCTATAGTTTAACCCATTTTCATACAGTTCTTAACTACTGTCTTAAATTTTGCTATCGTTAAGAAAGAAGCATAATTTTGCTCATGGCAATTGTCATACGGGCCTGTTTTTGCTATTACATTATTCATGCTGGATCTAAAATTTAGACTGTTTTTTCATTTAAGTAGGACCTGCACTAGACTTTTTACTACCTAGTGCAGTCTCTGCAGCACGTAAATGCTGCACTCAATGCCTTCCAGGATTAAAAAAAAAAAATTTCTGCAACCATGCTTGTTTCACCAGCTGCTTCACTTGGCTCTGCACTTTGCATTACTATGGGGAATTGTCAAGATGGCCAGCTTTATTTTAGAAAGTTCACTGTAGTTTAAAGTTCCATTAGCACTTTTCTGATTAGACTAATGAATGGCGATTCTATAACTTTATGAAAGTTTCCTAATTATTATTGTAGCTACACTTTATCTGTTGTATCATCAATATCTTCGTCTTTGAAAACTAAGCAAAGCAAAACTGAAAATCTATTCAAAGTATATCTTGCATCAATAAAAGATAAAATTGCTAGAGTAGAAACATTTGCAACTTTAGTATGAAAAACTAAGTGGCTGTTAGTTGGAGATTTGCATAGTATGTAATCATACATTTTGTAAAAATAACTTTTAACATGTAAATGTAATTTTTTATCTTCCCTTGAAATATCTCTCACTACTTTATGTAGTTTACTTTAATTCATATAATATGTGGAAACGGAAGACAAAATAAAGTTTGGCTTTGCAAATTTTGATTAAATGTCTTTGAACAAAAGCAGTAATCATTAAATGTAGCACATGAAGTAATGGTATTACAGAGTTGCCAACTCTCCCAATTTAGGTGGGAGACTCCCTATTTCCAACTGTTCTCTTGCCAATCCGATTTACAACATATTTCTCCTGACTTTTCCTTATTAGCCAATGAGCACAAAGCAAGATCAAGGTTTGTTATTTCGTTCATCTTGTCAACTAAGCTGTGTAAGTGCACGTGCTTTCGAGAAATAAGTTAAGAAGTTATGATATTTTATTTTAGTTATGTCTGCAAAAAAGAAAAATACTCATGTACTTTTCAAACATCGTACACAGATGACTTTCCTTCTATTATTTCTTCAAGGAAATGCAATACACTTGCAATGTGTATCATTTGTCGTTGCGATTTTTTGATTTTGCAAGGTGGAAGGGCCGATGTGCATGCACAAGGATACCACGAATTCTTTCGAAGAAAACTAAAAATAATTTTTTGTGTGTGTGTGGAAAGAAAGGACCCAAAAGTTATTAATGCAGAACATACTTTTTGCATTTAAGAATTAAGGTCAGTTTACACCTGTCAGAGCGGCTCAGAGCGAGTCGCTCCTTACGATTACTTTGACAATGTAAACGCTCACTTCGACGGTGTAGAAATGTAGGGGAGATGAGTCAGCACTTCCGTTTCTACTTTGAACCTGTTAAAAAATCTCTCCGGGCAGTTACTCCGAGCAGCATTCGCAGGGACGTCGTTAACAGTGAGTTCTATAATGCCGAGATTAAGCGATAGCCAAACCATGGCATTTTTTTAATGCATACGCATCTTATGAAGTGTTTTACTTCTATAATTATGTAAGCTTACATTCATTTTTCTACAAGCATCCTTTACATGAGGATGCAATAAATATATGATATTATAAACTATAAAAATAAAAAAATCAAAAATGTGAAAAAGATATGTATATCTGTTTTATTGGGGATACTTAAATTTCTTGCTTTGTATAAAAACATTCTGGGCTATAATTCGTTACAATTCAGCTTGGACGTGAAACATGTTCAGCTTGGATGTGTGAGTGCAAGTACTGAAGGTGTATTAAGGTTTATACAAATTATGCTAGATGAATTCTAATCTTCTTAAACTATCTGTTTTAGCATTTTAAAAGTAAAGTATAATCACTATATTTAAGCATTATTAATTTTGTTGATATCACTTTGTGTGTTGTCCAGAAACACAATTTCAGTAGGATCCAAAAGTAACAATTTGCGATAAATATCTTCCTGTTGGAACTATGTCATAATATATATATTCTTTTACCTGTGGTAAATATATGTAATGCTTCCAAGTTTTTTGCTACTTCTTATTTATTTAAGATTTTCTGAATAATTAGGTAGACATTATACAGTTTACTTCTGCCGTGTTAATGGTAGCTTTTAATAAATATTCCATGTGTTTGCATTCTTCTCTAGAAATAACACAGTTCCAGTCAGAACTCTGCATAATTAATTCATGCACATAGAGCTACTGATTCTGTGGATTCTGGATGAACAAATATATTCTTTCTATTAATAAATAATAAAACACATTATTACTTTTACATTATTTTGTAAATGATTAATTAGGTGTAAATAAACAGTTGTATATAGTAGAAAAACTTTGTTAATTTGAATTTCAGTAACCCACAGTTGACTAAATAACTTCTCTCAAACTGAGTTTCTTTTAAATTCTTGTATCTGATATTCAATAATGTTTTTGTAACTTTGGACATTCTCGTTCGAAATTCATTTAATAGTTCATTTGATACTTCTAATTCATCGCGGCAAGCTACCCAATCACGTACCCATTTTTTTTTTTCTTCTTTTTTTTTCCTCCCAAGAGCAGAAATTAATTCGTTTGAAACTGCTTCGCAGACTTCAAGCACTACAGCCTAGGAACATCTATGTATGTTCAATGCATGTTCTTTCCTGCAGCTGCGACGTCGGTATCCATTTCGTAAACAAACGGAGGCGAGTTGTCAGTCCACTCTAATTGGTGTAAACAATCTATCAGAGTACAGGTCCGTTCACTCGGTTCGAAACGCCCGGAAGAGCGGCTCGCTACGAGCTGCTTTGACAGATGTAAACTGGCCTTTAGTAACTACATAAAGTTAAATCATTTAAAAAATATATATTTGGTACTTTTCCATTTTGCCAGCGCAGGCGATAAAATCACCAAAAATGGTACAACTGATGTCAAACAGAATATCCTCGCTGGTAACCTTTTATGCCTCATTTTCAAAAGAATTCGCAGCCATTTTTTATAAGATGATTGTTTCTTTCAATACTGGCATACAATTACATAGCATTTTTACCAGGTAGTTCAATTTTATGCCCTAAGGCCATTCACGATAATTAAATCAATTAGGATGCAATCACACCGATGACCCAAAAGTAAAAATATAGAAAAGGTAAAATTAAAGTTTAAATTCATCAATTCTAATGAGAATGCACTAGCGAAGTAAAGCACTGCGGTTTTACATAATTTCTGAGTAAGCTATTCGTACGAATTGAAATAATTCTTGTATTCCATATTAAGACTTAACTTGTATTCCAGAATAAGATTTAACTTGAAATTAACATAGATAATTACTGAGAGAATTAGAATTTTGTAACGTAGTTTACATGAGATGAGATCACTTGGGGGTCACGTGATATGAAACGCCGGTGAATCAGGATGTTGTACCATGAAAGCATCTAGTAAATTCTTAAATTCATGTCTTTCTACAAATTTATCGGCTTTATTTATCTTTCTTTTTACAAAATTTTGAAACGATATTAAAATGTTTATGCCCTCAAAGTGAAAAATTTCTTAGAAACTAACAATATGTTAACATTTTTTATGTGTATACTGTGTGTTGTCGCCAATAAAGTGTGCTTGGCGAGATTTGCGCTGATGAAACTGAAAAGTACCATATATTTTTATCATTTAAAAGTTGTTGGAAAAATCTCTTGATTTCTTAAAAAATTCTTCAGATTTTTTAGTGTTGTATGTTGGCAAGTATTGTATTGTTTGCTTTATGAATTTGAAGAGCATGAAATGAGAGCAAAATGGCACACACAAAAAAGTAAAAGCTGTCTAAGGATCTAAAGAGGAAAACAAGGATTCATGAAACAAACTGATAATTGTTTTCCTTGCCAAGAATTTTAATTTTGAGAGATTTCTATATCTTACCTTTTTATCTATTTATCTATATCTTTCTATCCACTTTACGCTTATTATTATTATTTTTTTTTTGGCTATGTTCTTCTGATAATTGCCGCCAATTAAATTGCTTACTGTTTGAGAAGATCATTTATTTTTTCTTGTGCTTATTTTTAAAAATGAAAGCAATAGCCACATCTTCATTTGCTTTACATATTTTATCAGGGTTCGTACGGTCCTTAAAAGTCCTTAACTTTGGTCAAAATTAGCAGAAGGTCCTTAATTTTAATCATCTGAAATTTCTGTCTGTTTTTATGACTGCCATTTTGAGTGTGAATTAGCATTTTGGAGGAATATTTTTGGCGATTCACTGACATATATGGTTATCTTTTGAATGTGCTCATGGGTTATAATTTGTTTCTATTTCTAATAAAAATGCTGGGATACTTGAGTTTCTAAGCAAGAAGTGAAATATAAGCTTTTCGAAATTCCCTTTTTCTAATAAAGAACTCTTAAACAACTTTTCGCTTTTGGGGATGTGAATTCTTTTATTAAACAGCTCTAAATTTGGCGACTTGTCAACATTTTGGCGATTTTAGAATAAGTTTCTATAGAAAATTTTTAATTCCGAGATCTGACAATTTTTCGAATAGTTTTTTAAAGCATCATAACATTGATAAATTTCATTAAAATAATGGTAATATATTGAAATTATATATAAAAAATAACATTAAAATAAAACATTCTATTTTTCGCTGTCATATTATAAAGTTTCATTTTGGCAACTTATACAATATTATGAATCTGATAAATAAGGCATATTGCTATAAAGCATAATTTACGAAACAGCTTTTAGCAAGAGCAAAATTAGCTATGCAATTAATTAAAAATGTCTTCTTTTTAATTTTTTCATAGTAAGCGTTTTTCCCATGCAATTGTCTCGGAATATTCAAAATTATCAGAATATGCATCAGTTTTCTCTATAAAATTAATTGTACACTTTTTCCCTCCCTTTCTTTCTTTTTTTTTTTTTTTAATATTTTGACTTTTTGCTGTTACAGAATTGGTAGGGATAATTTTTCTTTAGTATTTTAGACATTGCAGCTTGGAAAGTTTAGAAGGGTTTGAAGTCAAGATTTATAGACCCACGATTCTAAAAGATTCGAGAAATATGTGACAAAATGAAAAATGTCTCCATGATATCGACACGGATGTATTTTACAGAAAGTTTGCGATGAATTTCTTACCTTTTGGAGAACATCTGGAAGAACAATGAAAACATAACAATGAATAAAATGATGTCTTCCATATACACGAAAAGCAATATTGTAAGCAAATCATCCACAATGTTTATTTCCATTTCTTTCAGTTTGTCCACAAGAATGAAAAAATCATTTAGATAATCAGTCATTTGTTTACATTCACTCATTTTTGTAAAAAGCAATTTTTTTAGGATTGTGGCCATTCTAGCTGGTCCCTTCGAATCGTAAATAGAATGCAATTTACTCCACAGTTCGTGAGATGTTACACAATACTTTACTTGTAGGAAGTTCACTGGGTTAAGATGGATAGGATTATATCCACGCTCGTGCTTTATGGTCAGTAGTTTTTCATTTAGCAAATTCATTCAACCACCAGGTTCTGGTTTCGGAATTTTCCCAGTTACATAAGTCCCAATGATCATTTTTAATCAGTGTTGCTTCCACTTTGCAACTTCCACGTGTCAAAGTTGTTCCTTGTTTAGCTTTTCAATTGACAACTGTATTTGTCCTCGTCATTTTCATTTCAGTCGACGCAGCTTGGCTTGCCAAAAGAATTTAACAATGGTGGTTGGACTGCACAGTTAAACGCTGTCTGGGCCCATAACCTATGAAGAATAAAATGTCTTCCATATACATGACAAACATTTATTTAAGCTATGAAGACGTTGAACAGCAGAGTAGAAACATTATATTACACAGCGCTGAGCACTTCTCACTTTCATGCGATACTCGCCATTGACTTTGGCTAACTGCATAGAAAAGTATTATGCAGCAGAGAACTTGCTTATCATGCGTATGCGCTAGGGGAATTAACGGCGGTTGCCAACAGTTTCATCTGATTTATCCACAAATTTAACTTTATCTGAAAAGCAGTTACAGTACCAGCCAATTGAAAAGGGTTTTTTTCTTTTCCCTGGAGATCTTTGTTCAGTTTAGCGGTTATATCCGTGAGAAAATACAGATCGGATAACCAAATATTATCGTCCAATTCTTTATAACTTTAATTTCTGGATTCCTAAAACTGCTTTATTGGTGAAAGAAGTTCAACAAATTGTTGAAGTACTTTTTCCCTGCTGAGCCATCTGACATCGGAATGATGCAGTAAGGTTCCATGTTCGCTATCATGTTCATCAGTCATGAATCAATTATTTTATAAAGTCTTGCAAGCTATCTCTTATGACAATGAATGCTTACCGTATTTTAATAATTAAGAAATATAAATGAGTGGTTATTTTTAAAATATTTTTTGTTAATGGTACTTAATCTGGCAGGCGAGCGCATACAAAACGATTGACAAGCACAAGTGTTTTACAGCATCATTCGTCGGTATTGTAATACTTTGTAGTTTGTCATACCTTGTAGGTATTAAGCAATAACTTGAAATCTTATGTTTTATGGGATCATTTTCAATACCATTTGATCACAGTAAATTTATATGAAATTTAATTTATTTGCCATCCTCATGATACTTTGTTTTATTACAGGAAAAAAGTTGAAGACGATGATACCATATCCGGTTCAGATGATGACAGTACAACTGTGAAAACACGTCCATTGAGAGTTGCTAAGAGTAAAACTAAGGTTTAAAATTTTATCTGTTTTTAAGACTGTAGGATAAGTTAATTCTTTCTTTTATCTCTCATTTTTTATCTTCAGAAGCTGATGAAAGTGAGTGATTTTATATTTGCTGTTTAGTCGTGGTACTTGATATTTTATAAAGCTAGATGAAAACTTTTGTACTGTTAATCCTCATTTATTATTTTCTCCTATAGTTTGAAAGTAGTATAGTTCTTTATATGATTCAGATGTCAATTCATATCAAAGATAAAGGTTTGGTTTGGTTTATTTGACTATGGCAAACCACTCAAGGGCTATCTGCCTAAAGGGGATGCCTTTGCAGAGGACTTTCTAAGGGAAACACTGGCTTGTATATACATCACTGTACAGTAAAACTACCCATGCAGCCAGCTCATTTGTGGGATTCGAACCTTGGGCCAAACTACTAGTGTTACCAACTTTGCTGCTTGGCCTCTGGTGGGCCCAACATTAAACACATGCTAATTCGGTTAAGGTATCAATTGCACTAATGGCTAATCATAGATGCTTGCAGAACGTAGTGTTAGAATTCAAGGATATGCAAGAATGTTAATTAAATTTTCAGATCTGCAACTGTTTATGTTATTTTTAAAGCAATAAAAGTTTAAGTGACTGGAACATTTCAAATAAATTAACAAGGATTTAATTTTTTCAAATTTATATTGTTTGTAAATATAAATAAATAATTTTTGCTCTTGTTTCTCTGCATGCAGGAGAATACATTCCTAAGATATACAACTTTAAAACTGTTCTGTGATAAATTAAAATTTATTTCCCAAATAACAAACCAAACATCGTCTTCTGATTTCAGTTTTATTTTTTCCTCATTATAAGTGTCAAATAATTTTAATAAAAGCAAATGTGAATGGAAAGAAATACATGTCTTTGCAATAATATACAAAGCTTTTCATTAGAGACTGACTGGAACAATGTAATGATTTGAAAACTGGATTCAGTAATTTTTTCTGGATTTTAATTCATATATATTTATCTGGAGGGGGAATAAATAAAATTATTGTGATGGAACAACATGAACTATTAAGAAATTTTGATTAAGGTATGAAAATTATTTTGGAACAGGCCATCAAAACGCCAAATTGTTGTTGCCAAAATAAAAATAAGAGTAGCATTAATGCAACAGAAATTGGTGTCTGGCATTTCACTTTTTTATTAATTTCGTTGGAAAATATTCCACCTGTGTTACCTGCTTGGCAACATCGTCATCCCCAGTGACATGTTTTAACATTACAGGATTTTTTTTTCCATCATTTCAACTTGCATATAGATTTTGAATTTTAGGTAGATTTTTGAAGGAAAAACACTATTAACTTATGCACAGATCAACTTATATTCGGTAATATAAGGTAATAGTGAACTGTTTACCACAAAATTAATATGATGGCCAACATATGTAAATTAAATGTAGCTTTAAATTGATTAATTAGTTTTTAGATGAGGACTGAATTGTAGCTACATTTTTTTCCCTAATGCAGGTTATAACTACACACATTTATAATGGATTTTAAGTAAAATATTAGATAAATCAATAATGCAGCATATTGACAATGTATGTCTTTTATTCCTATTATCATTACCTGTTCTAAATGTACAAAGTAATAGAAAATTATTTGTATTTCATGTATTACTTTGATAATCAACACAGGGTTTGAAAGTTATATGTCTAGTATAGTTTAAAAGGTACTGATGATTGAAGGTTTACATTAATTATGTTAAAAAAGTGTTATAGTAAAGTTATAGTAAATCCTTTACTTTATAATTTTACTTCAGAAATAAAACTGCTTGTTACAGTGCAAGCCTGATATCAAGCCAAATAGCTGTAGTTTGGCCGTGTCTGTTGTAGAAGTACAGTTAAGAATTGAAATAAATGCAAGTTAATACAATAAATGCATGAGTTAAAACTCTTTACAGAATTGTTTTTGCTGCTTATAAAAAGGGATCCTTGATGTCGGTTAACATGCATTGAATTTTGTCATGTATTAAAATGTTTGTTAACAGTTCTGAAAATTGTTTTATTACTCACAATTAATGAAATGTAAGTTTTATATTTATTTTCAGGTCACAGGAGTAAGAGAAAGAAGAAAGAAGATTTTAAAGTAGAAAGAAAAATAATCCAGTTTTCAGTTTTAAACCAAGATTTCATTTTTGTTATTACATTCAATTGTAATTATGACATCTTGGAAAGTGTTTACATTTGTGATAAATAGGTATATATTTTTTTTCCTTGGAGTCGTTTTATAAGGATTACGTTTCTTATATGGAGAGTCCTTAGTTTCATAACATTATGAAGGTCCACTTGAATGCTATACACTAATTTTGTACCTTGTCTTCTCATAAAATTTGTAATCTTAATTGTATATATATATGTGTGTGTGTGTGGTGACTGATATAAGATATTTGTGTGTGCATACCGAACTTGAGCTTTCTTACAAAATATATATTTATTATGACATACTTTGTATTATAAAACTTTTGAATACTCTTAAATTTATTTAATGTATCAAAGTTAACATTGTAGTTATTCATCCACGTAATGTGACAAACATATCACTTTGTCTAATACTTTAAGTTCGGGAAGGAATGTTTTTATAATAAATATTCAGTTTTACGACCGCCGCTTATTTTCAGTTCTGGTTGCATAATGAGAATGCTGAAGTATTATGATATGCGAATAAATTACTCTTTTATTTTATAGCCCCCTTTTAAATGATAAAGAGTATATATAGAAATATTTTCAAGTTCAATTGTGGACTGACTTACTCCCTAATGTGCTTCATAAATTGTAGACTTTTTCAGCACATAAAACTAGTCTTTTTATAGTTTCAGGGTGTGGTTTTAAATTTTTAAGAAATCTGTCTTTAACAGCAATTTTCTAAAACATTGTAAAATATAGAGATCTCATTCGTGTTAGGATTTTCTCATTAGATAGTGAAGTAAATTTTAAATGCAGGTTTGTGTGTGTGTATTTTAGTTTATTACTCTTTTAATAGAAGACATGTTCTGTTTTTAATTTTTGCTATATGTGATGTGAAAAAGATCTCATATTTTTAGATTAAAAAAATAATATTTAGAAAATGTTTAAAAAAATAATGTAAGTTTTGTGAGAGATGTTATTTAATTTTGTGTTGAATTAAACTCCATGAAACCTAAACCGATTTTTGTAAGTTCCTATCCACCTCAGTTTCATAAGTATTTGAAATAAATTTTTGGAAAATGTCAAACGTGTTTATTAATATTTTTTCTCATCTTGCTCTGTGGCATAATTCAAAATACTGCTAACCTCTTTGATGTCAAAAGCAAGTTCATTTTGCAAGCAAACTATATGCAAGAATGGTCACAAATTAGTTTATGTTAGGGATATCTGTCCAGATAGACACAGGTGAAGCCTAGTCATGAAACAGAATTTTCCCGTAATGTGCACTAATTATTTACCTCGTCCTTAAAAATACACTGGTTATCATAAATTAAGGAAAAATCACGATTACTGAAAAAGTTACATGTAGAATTTTATGATACTTACCCACAATATACAACACATAGTAAGGTATCAAATAACAAGAATAAATTAACAGACAATTATGGTAGTATAGAAATTAGCACATGTATAAAATGAACAAATCGAAGGTGTCAGTTTGCTATAGGAAAAGTACCTTCAATATGGAATATTGTCGCCTCTAGAAGCAATACAGCACATATAGCGATGTATGATGCTTTCAATTATGCGGTCTATCAGTTCCATAGAAAGCGAGAGCCATTGCTCTTGCAAAGCAGTTGCAAGCACGGCAAGGGTCTGAGGGGGCGGATTGAGAGCAGTTAGATGTCTCTCTAAAACATACCAAACGTCCTCGATAGGATTCAAGTCCGGGGATCGAGTTGGCCACTCCATGCACGTAATTCTTTCCTTTTAAAGATAATCATTTACGATGTCCCTGTGTGGTCTTGCGTTATCGTCCTGTAACAGGAAAGCATCACCTATTGCCCCGGCACATGGGCGCACAAACGCATCAAGGATGTCATCTCTATAAACCGGAGCATTCACGATTTCCGTTGGAAAGACATGGAGGTCTGTGCCTCCACCCAAAGAGATGCCACCCCAAACACAGACACTGCCTATTCCATATGCATCTCTTTAATGGATGTTTGACAGATGATAACGGGTTCCAGGTTCTCTCCATATGAAATAACGCCTACTTTCGCTTTCTAGACTAAACCTAGACTCATCCATAAAGAGAACAGACCTCCACTGATCAGGCGTCCAGTAGACATGTTGTCGTGCCTACTGCAAACAGTCCTTCCTATGGCATGACGTTAGCCGCACGTAAATGGCTGGTCGCCGCGCATACAGGCCACCTTTATGAAGCCTTCTATGCACAGTTGACATTGACACCAACCTTCCAGTGGCTGCAGCAAGGGAGGATCTAAGAAGAGTCGGAGTAGCGGTTCTATTCCTGAGTGCACATAATGTCAAATATCGGTCATCAGCGCTTGTCGTAGCAGTTGGCCGTCCTTGGCTGAACCTCCTAGATGCCAAATCTGTGGTTTGGAATTGCCTCCAAAGTCTATGAACCACAAAAGGACTCACATTTAGCCATCTGGCCACTTCTGCTTGACTTTATCCTGCCTCTAGTCTGCCAATGACTCTCCATCGTAGTTCTGCAGGCAAATGATGCCTGGAGGTCATTCTTACGAATTAGCTATCTCAGATTTCTGTTGTCACTATCACAGTGAAATATGTGGGCTTGCTCTCAAGCATGGACTTTTATTCTCCTTGCAGATGATGTATTCTGAGTGCAGCGTCACTAATTTGCATATTGCAGTTTTATTCAGTTACTCTTACATGGCAAAATATTCAAATTTTACACGGTTTGGCTTTTTTTTTAGGGAGTTATCTCTATTTTTGTGATTTTTCCTTAATTTATGATAACCTTATCTCTATTTTTGTGATTTTTCCTTAATTTATGATAACCAGTATATAAAACTACTGCTTAAACTAATTGTGCTTAATTGCATAATTTTCTACATAATGAAAAAAAAATAGTTATATAATACAGCCTTACTTATTCTATAGCTCATTGGTAATTTTTTACTGACATAGCTGTTCCCAGAAAAAAAAAAAAGTTTGATAATTTCTTTTTAAGTTAAGAAATAGATTCAGACCTAACGTATTTTAAAATGTGATTGTGGTGATTAAAGCTTTTAGTTAGTTGGAAATATGGATATTAGCACATTAGTTTAGAAAATAAAACTATCAAAGGTGATGATTTCGAAAGTGCAAAAATGCTGTGTAGAATGAATGAAAGTTTACCAGTTCCATGTTAGCTCACCTTTATAAGTACTATTGATACGAAAGGTACAAGAAAGATATGCTTGCCTTGTTAGAACATTGCAGCAGTTTCAGTGATGCTCAGTCACAGCAGTAAATCATTGCTTTGCTGAAATGAACCATTGTACAAATGATAATATACATGCACTCATTATTAATCTGCTATCACTACAAATGAGCCCCCCTACAGAAATACTGCTACATAACATTACTCTAGATAGTGTTTGTTAAAAATTAAATTTGAAGCACTAAATAGAAAAATGTAATGACTCGTGCATTTGTAAGGATAATAAAGTATCTTGTTTGCTGTGCATCTCTGTCCTGATTAATAACACAAAAAAGATACACAAAGTGGATATAAATGCAAGAAAAAAAAATTCAAAGCCAACAATTTTAGAAGTGGAAGGTTGATGTCAATCTACTGTGACTGAGTGCCATTGAAGTTCTCGTGCAAAAACAAAACAGGTAAATGTTTTTATTCTAAAGTTATTAAACATATCAATGAAACTATTAAATGTATGCATGAAAGCTTTTAAATGCATCTTTGAAAGCTATTAAATGTATCAATAATAAGTATTAGTTTGTAAAAAGGTAACTTAAAAGATGTCTTTTCTTGGCAAGAGATGCAAAAGCGATCTAATTGAACTTGCAACGGAAATTGGGGAAACGGCTCCACCACACACCATTATGATTATGATTAAAACATCATCACTAATAGTAAAGGTTATGACTAACTATTTGTAAAACAAGTTTTTGAAAGGATTATTGAGGAAAGACTTAAAAAAGAAAATGAAACACATAGAATTAGAAATTCAAGAATGCAAAAAACGAATAAATACAGTTAAAAGATTAGGAAAAACAAAAGATTTTTGAATTACGAAAACTAACTTTTAAATGAAAATAAATTAATGTCAACGGGAAGTAATATAACCGCATGAAAAAACAAAAAATGTATCGACTTCAAAAGTCTTGTGCAGAATTCGATTTAAAGGATGGATAGATATCCTCATTCTTAATAATATTTTAACGTCGGGCCAAACGAATGAAAATTGTTTTTCATGTATTAGGACTTTTACCTCTCAAGATCACACAACTGATTGCCGGAGAATATGAAGAACAAGCTAATGAGTATGTGTTTGTTAAGAATATATTATTGAAACATTTGAAGCCCAGGAAAAATTTTGCCAGAAATTTGTTAATCATATTAGGAATTTAAAAAATACATGGACAGATTTTATTTTTGAAATTTGTAACTATTTTAACGAATGGTTAGCAGGATTAAAAATAAAATATTTCGATTCTTTAAAAGAATTAATTATAGCAGATCACTAATTCAGAAGTCAAACAACAATTAGTATTTATTCGGTGTGTTATTGTGTCTTAATTATAACAGATCAGTTGAAAAGACAGGTTTCGAATTCTATGAGGGAACATTTTATTGATTCATGGCCTACATATGTAAACGCAAATGAATTGGCTGAATGCGAAAACGTTTGATCAGGACTAAAAATAAGCAACGAAAGTAAAAGCAGTTCTAAATTATGACCTTGGGATGATTCTAAAAACACTCCGAGAGTAATGAATTCTAGTAACTATAATAGATTACAAAACAGAGACATGATGAGATGGTATAAGTATTGCAAAAAAGACAGTTTGCCGATGCATTAATATAATGAAAAACTATTTAATTCTCGTAATAATCAGGTTGATCCCAAAAGTTTTTCTTCTCTTTGGTCATAGTTTAAAAGATATCCCTATCCCTGCAAAATTTGTGGATTGAAAGGCCATTCAAAGAAATGTTGCTCTAAGAATAAGAAAACTACATTAAACATGCATGATTTTTCTGTGGCATCTGATATGTACTTGAGGAATACTTTAATTAACAATTCTTGTATTATGTCTTCATTGATTGACACATGAATGTCATCATGTCTGTTTAAAGAATCATCTGTGAGAGGCCTGGGAATAAATATTTCATCTTGCAGAAAGCTATTTGGTTTCGGAAATCAAAACTCCGATAAAAAGTCTTGGTGCAGCATTTGTGGATTTAAAAATTGATGACGTAATGGCTAAAGATATTCTAGTATTAATTGTGCCAGATTCAGCTTAGTGGTTGGATGAACATTCTTAGATGTACCACATATTGCATATGCTAGGGTCGGTGATACCTTTCATATCAGCTATGCAAAAAATTATCCATTTATTGGGTTAGATTGCACTGGAGAAAATTCGTGTATTAAATTACAAATGGATGAAACAATGGAAATATTAAATTCTAGCCCAAATTTTGTAAACGTAAAAACTGAAAAACAAGTATCCTATCTTGCGACAAAGTATGAAGTTGACCATACTAATCAAAATTATATTTGAAGCAAATGCAACGAGAACAATGGCTTACACCGCCGCATTGTTAGTAAGACCCATACGATTGAATTATGGAATATGATGATCACTTTCATGCCAGACGCAAAGCTGATTGTCCAAAATGCTTGTATAGAAAAATACCAACTATAAAGCAATTTCCAAACCGAAATGATCTATCAGACAGCACTGGTTAGGAATCTGATTATAGTCTTGAATATGTCTAAGTTGGAGTGCCGTTCATACCCTGAGGGAAATTTTGTAACAAGGAGACGTTATCGTTTCTATGGGATGCGCAAAAATGAATCAGATAGGAAAGAATATGGAAAAAGGTTTTTCTGATAAAGCACATTTAAACTAGGGATGAAAGAAATCTGAGGAATTTGCAAGAGAAAGAAGGTTTAGGCAGCCAGAAATTGTATATTCAGCCCACACGATGAGTGAACATAAGTTCCTGCAAATGTCATCTTATTCGGAAACCAAGCACTGAGAAGTAGAATATCAAATGCCAAGGGAAAGTTAAATTACTCAAGCTGAGAGTAAAGAAAGGCTATTTAAAATTGTTACCTCATTAATGCTGAAATAAGTAAAAGAGTGGATGGCAAATAAGATGAAGGAGTACTATGAGAAGAAAAAATGCTGAACTATGACTTTTGAACCAGGTGAATTAGTGGTTGTTTGACAACCATCGAAACCAACAGACAAACCTATAAAAACTCAGATGAAATACAGAGGACCGATGATTGTTACAGAAGTCCTCCCTAATGATACTTACGGAGTGACCCAACTGGAAAAAAAAAACGGACTGTATACAGCAGTCCACGTCCAGCCCAAACTATCACACCAGGTGCAGGGCCACTATGCCAATATCGAATGCAAGCAAGCAACGCGTTGTCTCCTCGGACACTTCAGACACGTATACAGCCATCAGAATACTGCACGTAGAACCGGGACACGTTTGAAAAGGCGACATTCTGCCACTCTTGTACCCAGCTTAATAATGGTCACTGTGCTGATAGTCCACGCTGTTGCAAACGCCGACCCACCCTACGAGTGGATACGGGGCGTGTTGCAAACATACCCATTTCCTGACTAGCAGTCCATGATGTGGTTGTACGGTTTTGCAGGGCTGACCTCGCAATATGTCTATCCTTTATGTCATGAGTTATGATCCTCAACAATCCATCAATTCCATATTCACATGACAGTGGTCGGGTGTCGATGAGTGCGACCGGCGATATCGCGGAACAATAACTTACACTTTCGATAGGCAGCGATACTGCCTTTAACAAATTTTGAAACTTGTTAGTAAGCAGTTCCTCTTCGTATTCGAGGCATAACATGATATTCTGAGCAAACTTCGACCTTACAAAGCACTTTCCGAATGAGAAATCCACCACACAACTTTTCTTTTATGCAGTGCTTTGGATGTCATTTTTCCTGTGTCGTCTAAATGCGCTGAAATACTAAGAATTAGCATATCCCAAAGTCGTCTTCCTTTCATGTTATTTTGACATTCATCAGATCATTCTTTCCTGGTACTGCAATTTTAATGGCCAGCAATGTAATATTTGACATGATTTGATGCATTTTGCAGTCATCATTCAAATTAGGTTGGCTTGATAAAATTTTGCAAACAGCTTCACCCCCAAAAAATTACATCTGATATCTTAAAACAAGAGTAGAAAGATGCCTTTTTTATTTGCATATAATTTTGATACATTATCAGAACTTCAATCACATCACAATGCTGTTGATATATTTGCAAAAAATGCTAAGAAATTTGCTAGTTACCAACTCAAATGTGACCAAGCCAAACTTGTTTTTAAAGTCTTACCGACTTAGCAAAACATAGTGTAAGAATGCTGAAGTGATGAAAAACTCCAACATTTCTCACTCCTCTCGAATTAGATTATGTAAAAGAACACTATGGCTATCTATCTGCCTTTGAGAGATGAGACGTCTTGAAAGAGGGCTTCTGAACCCATTAGCCGCTGGTGTTGCGTTGACGCAACGGTCAAAATAAATGCGTATATAAATATAACTACCTAAGATATTTTATACCAGCAGATGATTTTGTGTAGGGAATGTTATGAAGATTATTTCTGTAAAAAAATATTTGCCTTTAACAATCATTTTGTTTATAATAATTAATCTCATACTTTAAGCAAAATTTTCGACCGGGTATTTTTGCTGAAAATATTTAATGAAAGAATCGTCGTCTTTATGAGTGATCTATTTTTAGTCAAGGTCATCGTTTATCAGAACATTACATCAGTCAGATGTTTGTATTTGTGTTGGGAAGAAGGGAAAACAGGTAGTTAATCTCCTTTTTCACTCATTCCTTTCAATGGTCTGGTTGTTTAAAAATGCCTAGAACGAGGTATTTTACATTAGAAGAAACCCTTCAAAGACTTTTTGATGAAGAAACAGATCATGATAATGTTAATAATGACCAGAATGAAACTGATATTGTTATTGTTCCCCCACAAATTGCAGAAACTAGTGACGAAGAAGAAAGGAATAGCAATGTTTTAAATAATGATAATGATATTTTAACAAATGATACTGCTGGGGAAGTTGAAATTCACGTAAGAAGCAAGTTTCAGCCTTCTGAAAGCAGTTATAGTCATACTAAAAATTTAAAAAGCAGAAGATTGAAATCTTGAAGTGGATAGAAAAGGATCTGTTAGTTTATGTCTCAGGAAGAACATGAAGAAAGCGATAGAAAAGAAATTTTATAAAAGACAAAATACAAGGTGAAACTAGTGCACCGATTTTCATTTTGGTTTAGACATTTACTCTCTTCTCGTTGAACAAATATATACGCTCAGCAAAAAAAAAAAAAAAAAAAAAAGCCCAGACTTTATTGCATCTGAAGCTTATATGAGAAGATTTATTGGAATATTATTGCTTACAGGATATCATTCTTTACCTCAAGAAAAAATATATTGGTCTTTTGATAAGGATATTTCTGTTCCTGTTGTACGAGAATCGATATCACGTTTGCAGTACACGAATAATGAAGCCGAATTTGCATTTGACAATACTGATAAATTATATGAGGTGAGACCGTATCTAAACTTATGCAAAGTATGTAATGTAGCTTTACATGATTGTAATCAAGCTTTTCATGCTTGAATCTTTCAATTGAAATAATCTGTATTTGTAAAAGAAATACAATGTATATTTTAATATTAAATTAATTACAAGTAAAGTGATTTGCAGATTTTATAAAACTTTATACAGCTAAAAAGTAATCCTGCACTCCACTCAAAAGAAACATCACACGAGTACAATCCTACTCACTAAACATCCATAGTCCTATTCCGCTGACGTTGCGTGAATGCAACACTCGCGTTTTCCACAGGTGAGAGCATTTTTTTTTATTTTCAATGTAAATTTATGTTATAAATGCTTAATTTAAATATTTGTTATTATTTTCATGAGAAAAGAAACATTCCTTGTAGTTTTGGCGGTTAATGGGTTAAGGGAAGCTAGCATGTATTCACATTAAGCATGGGGCAAACCATCAGAACTTCCATGCAGCCAGCACATTTGCTGAGAGGTTAAACAATCAAGTCAGGTGAAATTACTAGCATTTGCTGCCTCTCCCAATCCTCCTGTTAAGAGCTCTAACAATTAAAATATTTACCAAAAAAAGATCCAACAAATAGGCATGCAAGATTTTTGGCATAAAAATTGTGGAAAATTCATACATAAGTATTCTGATTTATATTTTCTAATTTTGCTTTATTTTTTAACAATCCAGATTATGTTTTAAAAATAATGATACTACAGATTTCCTAAAACAAAATTTTATTCTGATTGACACAATTTCTTAAATACAAACAGGACAGTATAAATAGAATGAACAGAAAAACAAAGGTAACTAAACAAGCCTTTCTGATTTATAATCAGTATGAATTATCATACTTTTAACACAAAACATTTCAAAACAAAGTTTAAAAAAATGTACACACCTATATAAACAATTAAGAAACAATGAATCACTTTTCCTAATGTGATATGAGGTATTCAAAATGCAATTTACAAAAGAAATGTTCCTGAGTTAGAGAAACTAAAAGTAGAATCCATAAAATTTTACAAATATGAATTTTATATAACGGGTACATATTATAAATGAAATTCAGAAGCAGACATAGATAAAATTACCATTGTATTTTCTCTTGGCACATGAAAATAAAGAAAATCTTGGTTTTGTTCATGTGAAGTGAAGGCAGCTGACATAGAAATATTACAGTGTGTTTCCAGTTGCGGTAGTAGTAGTTATCACATGTTTGGTTTCTTGGCAGTGTTAGTTAGCAATGAACACAGACATGGTGTCAAGATTAGATGGCAGTATATCATTGGTGGACTAGAATCTGTCCACAAAAACACACCTCTAAATTTGGTGCTTTGAAAAAATGCTGGTATAATATGATTATGATAGTTCATTTCTCAAATCTTTACACCTTGCACTACATGTGATATCATAGGATCAAACCGAATCAATCTTTTTGCAAGACACTAAATTAAACATATAAAGCACATCTTATATTGCAGTAAAAACCAAATATATTTGACCTAGCCAATAATTAACGATATCTACAGCAACAATTTTCAAATTCTGTTTTAAATATTTTCTCTTTTTTTTTCCCTACACTTCAGCAATATACATGTAGTCAGTAAACACAAGATATAACTATACATCAACATAAAAAAGCAAATAAGATTGTTTACCTTTGTGAACTACTACAGAAAGTAGGAGATATTTAACTGAAAGAAAGCACTACGAATTTCTACACAAAGAGAAAGAATTACAAAGCAGGATGTTTAAATAGAAGTTTTGATTTTCGACAGCCATTTTTCTCACATAAAAGAATATTTCAGTACAATCTCTTTAAAACAATTTCAGATTCCCTAAACTCTAAAACAAACCACCTCATGGTATTTAATGCATATATGAGGTAAGCCAAACGTAACAGTTCATTTCTGAAAAAGGCCTCAGTATCGCCACACACGCACACACACACAAAAATTAAATTTCATTAATTGAACTAATATATATTTTCTCATCAGCATGCATCTAAAACAAATCACTCTATATATGATATATTTGTTACACAAGAAAATAGAAAAGTTTAATTTAATTTAAATAATTCTCTTGCACCACTGCTGCAAGGAATGAAATTTGAATTTAACAAATATTCTCTATTTGTATACAGCAAATATATTAACTTCTTTGTAAACCATGCCAAGTGAAATTAAAATGTTAAAAAATACACGAAAATAATGAATAAAATTAGGAAAACAACCATATTATAAGACACACATTAGAATACTGGATATTCATTACATAACAGAATCCTTTAAAAAAAAAAAAAAAAAAAAGTACATGCTAACAAATAAATTAATTATGGCAGAATATTAACTTTAATTCTACATGCTTATTTCCCTCCATTACAGATTTTACTCCTAAATTACGATACTAAAAAAGGAGATCATAACAATTACAGCCATCTTGAACTGAAACCATACATAAACTATTTTAAAAAACCAATTAAAAAATTTCCAAACATGCTTAGTGTCTTCACCCTCCTTTTAAAATAGTTAAATACTTCATCTATGCTTGGATTGAATTGTAAGCATTAAATTTCACGGATTCTGAAGACAGACTACTAATGACTTATTTGCAATGTTATTTTAACACACTTTTATATTATATTCTACATGCAATAGCATTAAAAACATATTTTTTTGGTCTTAAAAATGCAGGGAAAAAATAGCAGAGATAAATTCCATTTACAAATTTTTTTAAAAAAAGTGATTTCAAAAATTCCTTCACCATGTGCATGCTCTTTGTAAACTATTTATTACAGCCCTGCTTTATTTATCAAAATACTATATGCAACGATTTCTCTATATACGAGCAAACAAAAAGTACAGAATGGCATCACAAGTGACTAAAATCTCAATAAATTTTGCAAGGACAGACATTCAGAGATTTTTCATTTCATGGGAGTAAGACTCAAGGAAAATTCAATATATGTTATGAATTTGTATACAAGACTTTCCTGCCTTTAATAGCACTTTAATAAAAATACCCATATAATTATGAATTACAGAAATGATAAACACTGAAAAATCAGAATAACACTCTGATATATACCTAAACTAAATATAAAACCTATTTTGTAAACAGAATTTAGGAAATTTCTAAACTGTTTAATATTAAGTCAAACTTTATACACAGCACTTAATATCAAAGGACAACTTGCATAGTGCTTTTTTAAATAACTTTATTAAAAATTAGTTTGACACTATATTCAAGGAGTGAATTCTTTAAACACTTATGGGGTGGGTACTATCTATTGTATGATAAAATATAAATATGAAATTTAAGCTTCAAACAACTGCTATTTTCTTATACAAAGAATATATAAGACATGTTTTAGCAGCATAAAATACAAATGCTCTTGTGAGTTGCTCACACATCTTTAAAAATATAGATTTATAATAATACATATTAAGTACAGTAAAAGCCTGACTATCTATAATTGAATTAACCGGAAAGCTTTAGTAACCGCAATATTTTGAAATGGAGGGGATGCTTTAATGCAAAATTAAATAAATATTAGACTTGTAACTTTGCTACAGCACAAAAAGGACTATGATTTGAATCAAACAAAAACTGTTGTCAAACAGTGCAATTTAGAGCTAATAATGGATAAGCATGACATACTGCTTTGGCCTGTAATGTAAATCCAAATACATTGGTTTAATTTTTGCAAAGAGAAAGTTAGTTAACTTCCGTTCATCTTTTAATTGCATTCTAGAGGAAAAAAAGATAAAAATTTAGGACTTGTCTTGAACAGCATGCAGTAGAGTACTTGCAAATTTTAAGGATGCTGAATCAAGATAAGTGCAACAGAAAATGGATAAATAATGGCTAAGCAACATAAAAAATATTACAAGCAATTTAAGTTTTTATATGTTATGTCTGCAACTTGTATATACTAATTAACTAAATAACAGCAGTTTGTTCCTTCAAATTTCTGCCCGAGGCAAGTTTGGTGAGATCATCTCCAATTTTCATTGTTGACAGAATTTTATGATCAAATATGTTTCACTTTGTTATTTACGTCTTGAATGCCCTTTTTTACTCTGACAATTTCACATAATTTAAAAACAGGTGCTTATGTTTCAAGTTGATAACAAATAAAATGACTCCTTTTATAATTTCGGACCAGAATTTTTCTTTCCATTTATTTGATTTTCCCACTGAGAATTGTATTTTTTACATGCCGAATCATCTGGAATTTGAGATTTTCAGAGTTTTCTGGATAGCTGAGCTTTTACTGTACCTGAATTGAAGGCAATCAATTACATTTACTTCGACTGCAAACTGTTAGCTATCCTACAAAACCCTTTTTTAAAAAGTCAGAGGATTTTTAAAACAGGCAAATTTAACTTTAGCTATATGTTAATTTTAGCACTTTCCTTGCTATATTTTGAGCAAGTCTGATGCACGCTTCTACACATAGCACAAAAATTCTGCATTGTTCTTTAGAGATCTGTGTTATGTTGTCCAAAAATACAAAGGGTGCTTCACTACAGTAAAGCCTAATCTTATGCCAAATTTGGCTTAATTTTGAATTTAATATATTTTTGTACACTTGTTATTAAGATTTGCTACTATCAATAGCCTGGTGGTGTGATTTGGCCACAATTAGGCAAAATTAATGTAATGACAAAACAAAATGCACCTAATTTCATGACGCTGACATCCAAGATTTATCATCTATAATGTCACAAATTTAACCCATTCAGGATGGCATAATGTAGAACTGAAAATCCTTTGAAGACTGCGTGTCATATATGTATCAGTCAACAATGTCAGTAGCAGCCAGATGATTCACTGGGGTATTTCTGCTTGCACTGATTTACCAGACGGGTGTATCATATATGCACTTTCAAATATACATGTTCCTTTACAATTTTTTTAAATCACTAGACTGCGCTTTGTATCCACTGCAGTTAGTTTATTTGAACCTATACATAGTGGACTTTTGTCCACAAAGTACTTTTTAATTCTAGCGATTCTTTTATATATAACAGCAAGACATATAAAGTAAACAAAACACAGCTGATGGGCAGCTGTGGTTTCCATGTGATACAACATTGAACAGTTTCAGATGCTTCAAATTTGTCCTTCGTTTTTTACCTATGGGAAGACTGGGAAAGCAGCTGCAATTTTAGGAATTACTACTTGTATTCAGCTTGCATCCTCTTTAGATAGCAGATCTAAGTTTTTGCATCAGTTAAAAGGATTAAACTAAGATTGTGATGTCTAAGAGAAAAGTTTTTAATAGAATTATTTTCACTATTCTGACAGTGAAGACTCTCTAGATTTAAGTGAGAGTAGCAATTTGGATACCGAAATTTTGTCAGAGACTGAACTGGAAGCTTGTTTTGCTTTCATCTCACAATAGAGAACTGCAGTGGACACTTCACCAGACTGAATCTGTTAAGGAATTGAAGCCACATGAATTTGATGGAATTGCAGGAGTAAATTTAATCCAAAATTACATGAATGAAATTGATTTGTTCACTATTTTTTTCAATGATGATCTAATGAATATAATAGTTGAAGAAACTAATAATTTCTCTGACCAAAAGATGAGTGAAAATCCAACTTCTCAAAAATCAGTTAAGTTTACTCTTTACAAAGTAGTTTATAGATGTGTCTAAAATGAGGAGGTTCCTAGGATAAATTATTTTAATTGGAATAATTATAAGCCCCGACCTCAAAATGTATTTCACAACTAATGAAATGCTAACACCACCATCTTTCAATAGAGTGATCTCTTTGAACAATTTTCTGAATATATTATGGTTTCTGCATAAAATAGAAAACAGCTAAATTGGAATCTCTGACCGAAAACTTGCAGAACAAATTTAAAACAATTTATACACCTGAACAGAACACATGCATTGACAAGTCTCTTTTAGCATGTAAAGAATGTCTTGAATTCCACCAGTATTTCACTTCTAAAAGGTTGAGTTATGGATCAAATTATAAAAACTTTGTGAATCAAGTTCCGGATATGTCTGAAATTTTTTTTGTTTACTGCAGCAAAGACACAGATTTAATGGCTATGGTGAACGAATAGTGAAAACTCTAATGACAGATTTACCTGGCAAGGGATACAATTTAGATCACTTTAACTCTCCATCCCTTGCTGAATATTTAAATTCAGTCCAAAAAATTATGTGTGGAACTGTTTGTACAACAAGAAAAAGAATGCTGAAAGATTTCCATAAACTAAGTTTAAAAAGAAGAGCTCGATACAATTCAGAGAGAAAACATAAATGTGACTGCTTTAAAAAAATAAAATGTTTTACTACTAACTGTTATACATGGTCGAGAATGGGTGATACAGGACAACTCTTGCGGATAGGGCAGCTTCCGACCTGAGGCTAAGTGCCACCCCTACGCTCTTACAATCTACAATGTTGCGACCCCACAGAGCAAGGGCAGACAAGGCAGTACCCGTACGGTCCCTGCCGAGCCTTACTCTGTCCCAAAAGCCCTCAGGCCTTCTGTGAAGTCTGTTGTTATACCCCCGTGGTTGAGATTGCCTAGGTACAGATCCTGAGTCTACCCTGGGGGGAAGGGGAGGAGAGAACATTCTAAAATGCAGATATAGACTATAATAAAAATATGAGTGGTGTAGATATTGGGGATCCAAGAAATTATTCTTTGGTCTAATACATATCGCTTTGTTGAAGACCAAAATGCCAATGTTCTCTATGACTAAAACTCCATCTCCAAGGTGGGTTGCGGCATTCCATCATATAACAGGATTAAATACTGATGCATATATGATACACTTGTTCGGAAGGTTAGAGGCAAAACCTTAGTTACTTTTTATCCCACAAGAAAACATCTGCACTTTACGAGTAATACAAATTTAGATCAACACTGGACTAACATTATGTTCTTCACTTTTCTTATACAATTAAAGAATAAATTACAAGAACACATGCATTTTTTTTGGGGGGGAAAGCTAGTACAAGAAACTCATGATTAATTTCCCCATTCATCATGAAAAATATAGTATATTTCAAATCTTACATATTTAAATAAAAATGTAGAGCACCTAATAAAGCAAGTAATATGGTATATTTTGAAAAAGTAAACATTGTTACAAACTCCATTAACAGATTTCGATTAATTTTTACCTAAACATCACTTGTTGAAAGAAAAGAGGGCAGACACCCCCCCAAAAGGAAACGTCATGTTATGACAGTACTAAGGTCATATCACCTACTAATTGCAGATGTCTGAAGCATATACTAGCTGAAATATATTTCATAAACAAATAGACCAAAAATTTTCTGAGAATTAGCATAACATTAGTGCAAAATAACCAATGCAAAATATTGCAAATAATTATTATTATTAAACTGAGAAAATAGGAAGCAATATAGAACAACAAATAGTATAAAATATTAATTTAACAGCAATGATACAAAAAAAAATCAATTTTCAACTGCAGTAGCTTTAAAATTCTTAATTGTCTTAAAAAAACTAACCATACATAATTTGTATCAATCCATACTGTGCAAACATATATTTAATTTTATAATAATGAATAAAAATATGTGCAAAGAATTTGAAATCCTACTAGAAGTATACACATAATTAGAATAATATAAAATTGTTGGCAGATGCTATTCTCCGAAAGAAATTAAAGATGAAAGCATTGCAAAATACAAATGATAAAATGTGTCTACGTTTAATCAGTAACACTCCAATATGCATAAAAAACTGATTCAACATCTGTTACCAATACTCCTGACAACTGTGCATGAAAAACAATAAATCCATATATTTTAATTTAGAATATTAGCATTGTGTATTTGCCAATTGAATATTTAATTGGTGAACAATATAGTATTTTAAATAGTTTTAAATTTTCAAACATAAATATCGAATGGTGATTCTTCATATTTTTATTGTATTATTTTTTATACACATGATCAGTATTTTAAAAAAATAAAACTGAAGACATTAGGTCAAACTGAATTTTACAACCAATGCTGACAAGCTATCGCAAACCATAGCATAACTGCAGCAAGCTTTCGAAAAACATTCTTTCAGAACTTAAGAAAAACATATTTGCAAACTTTACACCTACTTTCCTTTCTTATTACTGGCTTACAAAAGCTTTCTTTACCTCAAATTAACTTCAGTCTCAATAACAATGAATAAATAAATGGTTAAAACATGAGACCGAATGCGAGTGATTAATTGTGTATTAGTAAAAAGTTCTATACATTCTCATATTATGCACATAGCTTCAGCAATCAACAAGGACAACACAAGTAACGTATTTACATATTAACTTCTCTCAATACATTATATCAACTTATCTACAGTACTTTACCCAGCTGTACAATATGTTCATTGAATTTTAAGCAAGCTAATGTAACGGTGTTCTTTACTTTTAGTGCAATTTACATATTCAGAAACTGTACAAACGTTAAATGCTCATGGCAACTGTGCAATATCTTTTCTTTTTTTTTTTTTAACAGATCAAGTAACAAAGGGCAGCATTGGTGAACATTTTGTAATAAGCAACAATAATACAAAAAAATGATTGTATGATGGCAGCTATGCTTATTAAAATGGCAGCTATGCATATTTATGATATCTGATGTCAGTTTCACATTTGGAATGGCACCTTACATTGAAGTACTTGAATGGGGAACCTGAAAATGGGAGAAATGAGCAATCAATTCTGCAGGAAAAAAAAAAAAAATATTGCAAGAAAAAAATATGCACAAGACATAATATAATTAAATTTACAATACAAATTAATATGAACTACAAAGCTAAAAAATTCAAAAAGGAAAATCTTTTCCAAACAACAAATAAGCTTGCAAATCTTTAAACTTAGAAATATGCTTTAAAACCTCTCTAAGATCTTGACATTCAGAAAATTTTGGTCTTCTGCAGACAATGTAACCTTAAAGGAACATTATTATTAAGGGTGTTTATTTTATGATGTCAGTTTATTTAATGGTGTATTTATTTTATGATGTCAGAAATATATGTCACTTGGTCACATATGTGAGGGTTTTTTTTTAATGGAGTTTCTCTGTATCAAAATAAATAAATAAATAATACAACACAAATTTAATGCACCACCAGATTTCTAGATGTTTAACATGAATGATAACAGATCTTATGTACATTCATTTTGGATTGAATTTAAGATAAAATTTAAATTGACGTGAAAGGTTAACTAAAAACAAAATTACTGAAGATAACAGAAACAGTATAAAAGAAAAGGTATTGAAAAGTGACTAAAAAACTCTTTCGGTTTAAACACATCAAACATAATTGATCAGCAAGTAAACTGCACTAGATTTAAATAATTTACTGTATATATAACTGCAAAGACAAATGCAATACCGCAATGCAAGGAGACATGCACTAGCAAACCAAGACAGAGCAAAAAAAGTAAATGAATATTCAGTAGCTGGGGGTATTTATAGTTATATATCTTTGCTTAAATTTTAGACTGATTGGACAAGAGCTTATCACAAGGCAGGATTAACAAAAAGACACTCTGTAGGTTAGTTTTGCAGATGGCACACATCCAGGAAGGAAATGTAGCCAAATGAAAATGAGTAATTAAAGGACTACCGTAATTTCCAGAAGAAACGTTGTGGCGTTTACGTATTTAAAACTTAAATTTTCAGTGGGTGTGGCGTTTCTACCCATGCCCCGTTTAGGTTCACTAAAAATAAAATATTTCCTATGATGGTCATTGTACACAGTTTGGATGGCCTTGTCATTGTACATAGACTGGTGCTGTTCCCACACAAAAGACCACTCAATTGCTTTTTTGCAAATGTTATTTTGTTTACACTCTTTCCCTTGAACGGACCTACATACCTTATTCACCCTAATTGGGATCTCAGAACAATAACATTCTTTCCCCTTTCAAATCAACATTCTCATCAGTTTGAATAGTCTCTCTCCTCTGCCATTCGATGAATATTCCAGGACCCATCCTCTCTCCTCACCTGCCTTTTCTGCAATTTTTTTCAAAGGCGGACATGACTCCACTTGCCTCGCAATAACAAACTCTGACATATTTCCCCTTCAGCATGAATCGATTTTTCTTGGCATTCTGCCAGATATGAAGATAAATGATTTCAAAGGAGGACCTTGCTGGTGCAGCAGATTTATGAAAAGAAAAAAATATTTCTGTGCATACTAGAACAACAGTCGGGCACAATTACCAGTGGACTGGCAGGATAAAAAGGTATCTTTTCTAAAATATGTGACAGATATTATTGACAAAAAAAATAATATAATAAAAAAAAACTTCTTCAGTCACAAATAATAAATATGGATGAAACGCCGTTAGCTTTCGACTCTCCTGCAAACATAACTGTTGATGAAACTGGTGCAAAAACTGTATCTGTGTTTACAACGGAGCATCAAAGAACATCATTTACATGTGTGTTAGCTTGCGCCACAAACGGTGACAAGCTAAAGCCGATGATCATTTTTAAACGAAAGACTATTCCGAAGGGAGATTTCCTAATGACGTGTGCAAACGAGAACGGCTGGACGTGCGAAACAATCATGCATGAGTGGCTACAAAAAGTTTGGCAGTGTCGTAACGGATCTTTTTTCCAACCAAAAGGGTTATTGATAATGAATTCCATGCGTGCTCATTTACTTGAGTCAGTGAAAACCAGACGTCAAAAATTGTCTACGACTGTAGCAATATTTCCTGGTGGTTTGACAAAAATCTTACAACCATAAGATTTGTCAGGTAATAAATCCTTCAAAGCTGAAGTCCGGAGTGAAGGATTGCATACATATTCCAAAAACGGGAAAATATGTAGAGCATCTTATGAAGAAATTGCAAAGTGCGTAGGAAGTGCATGGAAATTGGTAAAAACATCGTCAATAATAAGCACGGTTAAAAGATGCTGAAATTATATCCTTAGATAAAGAGACTGTAAACCAAGAGGATGAATGTGACGATCTGGAAGACTTAGATCAGAATTTACTAAATAAATCTTTTTAATTCAGATAGTGAAGAATCAGATTTTGATGGCTTCATATGATGTATAGTTTGCTGTAATTCCTTTTGTAAGTAAAATTAAAAATTTCCTTTTGTCATCCAAATTTAATATTTCGTTGTTGCAACATTTTTTATAATATAGTCTGAGTATTACAAATATGGACTTCTTTAGTGGGTAAATATAAGTATATACGTTCTTTCATATTTTATATCTTACACATTCCACTTTTTCAAAGAGAAAGAAAAAGGCTTGTCCATAGAAACTTTTTTCAGAAAAAAGCATTTACAGTATTAACAAATGAAAATAAGCTTTGTACAATATATATATAATATGCACTTCTTTGATGAGAAAGAAAATTGATTTTCTTCAAGGACATAGCCTTTAGTCATGCCCCATTATTTTGTTCATGAACTTGTATCTTAAACATACAGAAACTCCACATAAGAATGTAATTTGGAAATATAAAAAAATATTATATAACATCTAGACCAGCTTTTCCCAAAAAGTGGGTTGCAGAAAATTTTGCTGGGTCACCAAAAAAAAAAAAAAAAAAAAAATTTACATCAGACAATAGGAATAGTGGCAAAGTGTGTATTTGTGAACTTTCATATATTTTTAGCTCCCATGCTTTGTTCTGCTAACGTAACTAGGTCTTCCCTTTCCTGCGCATGCAAATTTACACATTATCCACATGCTTGTGGATGTTTGCCTGTGATTTCATCATTCAAATACTGCCTTCTTACAAACTCATGTGTGTCAAAAGAATTCTTCTGATAAAAGTTTCCGACCTTTCTTAAAAATGATAAATGGTTAATCAACAAACCCAGAAATCTAAATGATCAACCAAGTATGAGCACTAAAGTATGAGTCTGAAGCCACTAAAGCAGATACAGAGTGCCAAAGGAACAAGCATAAAGCTTAACTGGACTTGCAAATATTGTGAAGAATATTTATGGTTTGGGTTCATTGTGTTATTTGCAATGAGCAACTTCCAAATGAAAATATGAAACCGTCAAAGTTGGAACGGCATTTAGACACACTTCATTCTGAGTACTCTGATAAACCAATTAACTTTTTTGCTGATAAGAAAAAGGAAATGACTGCTGCTCAAAAAAATAACAAATGACCTCTTTCCTGACCAGTCAAATGAAAACCTCACTTTTGACAGCTTTTGAAATTTCCAAATTAATAGCTGAGACTGGGTATCCTCAAAGTGCTGAAGAAAAAATACTTCTCGTTTTAAAAATTGTGGCAAATAATTTATGCGGAATAAAGAAAAAGTTTATTTTTGGCTATACCATTATCAAATAATACAGTTAAATGGAGAATTGATGATATTGCAAAACATTTAAAGAACTAGTTGCTAAAGTAAAAAAAAAAAAAAAAAAAAAAAAAGCAAGTAAATAAAAGCACACATATTGAGGATAATGTAAATCTAATGTGTTTTATTAGATATATTGAAGAAGACACCATACAAGAAATTTTTTTGTTTTGTTTTGTAAAAAAAAGCTACTGACAACAGCAAACTCAGATCAGATTTTTAAGCTTGCTAAGGATTCTTTCACTGGTCACGGCATTGATAGGATGAAGTGTGTTGATCTAAGTAGCTATGAAGCATGTGCAATGGTAGGCTGTCGGTAACATTTGCCATTCATTGGTTTAAACAAATTTTGCCTCCAATTAATTTGTTCACACAAATTTAAGAATTAGCCATTAATTGTGTATGGGTGCATTGTAGTAGCCATAGAAAAGCAATGGAGGTAAAACGCTTGCCTTTAAATTTAAACATAACTTTGGAAGAATGTGTCAAGTTTGTAAATTGCATAAAATCTCATCCATTACATAACAGACTTTTTACAGAATTATGCAAGAAAATATGAAGTAACCACAAACACCTTCTTTCATGATGGCTTCCGAAACAAAATGTTTCAAAACATATGTTTGACCTAAGAGCTTTGTTATTTCTGACGCACCATCTACAAAGGATGCTAATTTTTCAATCTAAGGATAGATTCCACGTATTCGAGTGGTTAATAAAAATAACTTATTTGTGCAACATATTTGCTATATTCAATGAATTGAATTTGCAAGGCATTGGTTTAAATGTTTTCAAAGTATTGTAAAATGTTGCTGCAATAAGTAGAAAAATGACTGTGGAAACCACAAATTTGAAAAGGAAATTTTAAGTCTTTTGAAACGTTACCTAAATTTACTGAAACCCATGCAAACTATGACGAAGGAGATTACATCTAGATACACCAGTTTCAATTCAAGGAAATCTTTCGGAGCTAATAAATAGTATTAAAGGCTAATTTATAGATATTCCTTCAAATAATACGTGGATTAAAGATCCTTTTCTGTCAAAATTGAAAAGGAAGAAATGTTTAATCTTGGTGAACAAGAAGTTGATAATTTAATGGAAATTTCATAGTACACTGATCTGAAAAATGTGTTTGAAACTATATCATTCATTAATGTCCCTTTCTGCTGTCAAAAGGAGCATCCAAACATTAGCAAAAAATCGATACAACTTTTAATGCCTTTTGTCACCACTTATACATGTGAAGCTGCGTTCTCAACCTTGGTGTACTTAAAAAATAAGTATCGAAACAGATTGGATGTCAAACCTAATTTGAGAATAAAATTAACAGCTAATTAACCTCCTAATTTGAAATTGTTATGTGATGACAAACATCATCCTTCACACTATGGACAAAACATGTGGAAACAAAGTTTACTTCATTTACTAAAGTTTTAATTGATTATATTTGTTAATTTTTTAATTACTCACGTTTTTTACAAAATCATTTTGCAATTTTTGTATATGAAATAAGCAAATAACTTAATTTTTATTTAAAAATAAAATTTGTATAGTAAATAATTTTTTTTTTTTTTTCCTAAGGTGGGCTGTGAAAAATATTTTAAAACCTCATACTGGGCCGTGATATAAAAAAGGTTTGGGAAACGCTTATCTCTACTAAATGCATAGTTTACTTTCTAAAAGTCTCTAAATCCGTGATCTCTAAAAAAAAAATAAGCTTCTAAAATTATTGTAAATCTTTGCTTGAATATACTAATGCAAATTTCTACAGTCCTTGAAGCCTTTTGCAAAAAAACTGCTATATTCAACACAAAAACAAAAGATTTCTTTTACATATTCATGAAATTCCATTAAGAGTACTTATTTACTCATTATAAAACAATGCAGATTTTCTTAATTGTAAAGCAATGAAAATGTACTTTTGGACATTAATAACAAAAAAAAAAAAAAAAAAAAAAAAAAAGGAAACAAAATATAATAAAACAAAAATTAATTTTGATAAAAAATATCAGCAGGTCCTCAGCAAGCAGATCAATGCTGATGGCTGTTGGATGCTTAAACATACTAGCAAGTAAAAATCTCTGGTTCCTTACACAAGGTAACTGACTTTTATGGCCATAATATTCTTCAAATTAGATAATCAAAATAAAAATATAAATACATGGAAATTCAAATTAAGATGAATAACTTGTATACTCAAATCAGGTCTTAAAATTGAGTGAATAAAAATTTTAAATTACCCTACAATAAAAATATAAAAAATTTAAATGTGTGTAGTGTGTATGTACGTGTGGTAGCACTTTGCGCTAAAACTATGGCTAAAGAAATGCGACTGGTGAAACACTCAGGCAGTTCATAACACGACTCTCCTAAAAAAGTGAATTTAAATATTAGGAATATACCAACGAGCACAACCTGTGTATGCTCATCACTATTTCATCCTCCCTAAGGAGAGGATGGCAGGTGTTATAGTGTAATTTTCAAGCAAATAAAATTTAATAATTCAGTAGATGACATAAGGATTTGAAAAGCAAGCTGGGGATATGCTTACAATTAGAGGAGAGGGAAGGAAAGTTTTATATGTGGCAGCTGATTAGAACACAATTTTATTTTCATAAAGGAGCAAGCCTAGATAAAAATAGATACAAGTAGCATCAATTATGGGTCCGAGATGCATTCCACAATATTAAACAGGCTTATTAAATCAAAGGACAAGTCGGAAAGCAAACTCTACATGGCTAGCAGCAAGGTGAAACAAGGAAAAGAGGCCAGTTGCATTCATAGAAGGGATTGAGGCCTCTACAAGTAACTGCCGAGTACAGCATCACCATTAGTATATTAATACACAAATCAGTTACTGTGGTTTTGCCCAACAGACGGAATGATAGATTTGCGGGCAAACATACCGAGTTCAATACATATTTTATTTCTGGACATATTTGATACATATCTTCAATCACACATCATTTATGAGTGTGATAAGAACCCCCACAATTTTACATTACTTATCACATCTTTAAATAATAAATGATACAATGAAGCATGAAGACATGCATTAGCAGCCCAAGACAGAGAAGGAAGAGTAAATAAGTATTCAGCAGTTGGTATATTTATAGAACTGGCCTCTGATTAAATTTTGGACAATGACTGAACATCAGCTTAATGCACTGCAGGATTAATAAGATGACATAATGCAGATTAGTTTTGCATGTCATAAATGTTAGATTCCAGAAAGGGAATGTAGCCAAACTAAACTTAGTTTTCTATCGTATTTAACTTTTCGTATTGAGTGATTAAAAATATATTTAGAAATTCTATTAAAAATGTTACGAGTTCTGGATTAAAATCAATATTTAAAATTCCTCTAATAATAAATATACAGACAAGTTTTTATCAAACCCTGCTTTAAATTAATGAAAATTAACAAGTCTCAACTCTATAACTTACAGGATGAAGAATAAAATTATCATAAACTTCCATAAGATCTTCCATGGTGTACTCTTCAAGCATAACAAAATCTTCAAGAACAGGACTGCTTTTCCTTGCACAATCTAAGCAATGCACAAGATGTTTTTTGTCTATCTCTTTCACAAACAATATATTGAACACTTCCACCTGAATGGAATTAAAAGAAAAGCTCTAAATTAATACAGCAAAAAATTTTAAACAATAATATTGGCTACAAATTATATGATGCATATACTGTTAATAAAAAATATAATATACATTCATAACAATAAAAAGGGGGAAGGCATGCAAGAAGGAGATATATGACTGTAATGAAATTTTGTATGCGAACATATTTCAAGCAAACAGGCCATTAAATTTTGGAGGTGAATGAATGACAACTGGAGCTACATCACAACTGAGTATCTAAATAGTGCATAAAAGAGGACAGAATCTAATTCCAGAGTATAGCTTGCATTTCAATTTAACTGCCAGAGCCAATGTAATTAATTGTTCCAATGCCTCACTATATGTCACCAGATCAAAAAGGATGTGCAGTCAGGCTAAAAGAAGCAGGGTGGACAAATCAGAGGATTGCTTGACATTTGAATCAGAACAATGCTGTTATTCGACTATGTAGGCTGAAGATGCTGAATCATGACCGAGTACAGCATGAAAAAGATAGCAGCTCATCTAGAGAGACAACAGAATATGGGGATATATGAACCTTGCAGCTCATGGTTTATCAATTATTATCAATGATCTATCCTGTAACCAAGACAACAGCGACCATAAAGACTATTGATAGGCAACTCTGAGAACATGGTCTATGCTCACTATATCCACTCCATGGAATCTCAATGACTGGAGTAGAACGATCTCAAGCACCCAGTCCTGCTTCAAACTGAGCATTGACAATCAGCCATGAAGTGTCAGGACAATGATGAAATACAGACCTTTGCTCCCATTCACAATGACAACAAGCAATTATGGCCTGGGATGCCACTTCATTCGATAATCTGGTCCCTGACATCCTTACAGCATGATGGTATGTCAATGATATTCTACACACCACTGCATTTTTCTTCCTTTCAAAGACTTGCATTTAAACAGGGTAATGCTCAATGGAATATGGCAATCATTTCTACATATAGTCTTCATGTTTATAAAAAAATTCCCTGACCTAGGTCTGCAGATTTCTATCCGACAGAGTACATTTGCAGTTTTGTAAGTAGGGACATTTGACTGTTCAGAAGTCTTTCATCCAACTCAACAGTTAAAGAGAATTTGGCAAAAAATCCCACAGGACGACAGTCTTCAAGTCAATGCCATGCCTGATAACAGTTTGAATAAGGGCCAAAGGTTAGCCAAAACCTTATTCAGTAAAATGTCTCCAGAATAAAATATTCAGTTTTACTGAAATTTTAATTGTTTCATATACACATCACACCTAACAAATTTCATCCTATTTGGATAATTCCTTTTTAGTGCATCTTTTTTTTATGTGTGTGTGTGTATTTGCATTTTAGAATGGGCAATACAATGAAAGCAGATTTCTCCAGCCCGGGTTCAAAATTCACAACATTAGAAACAGCTTTTATTTATCTACAGGTTTTTTAAATAGTTAATTCACAGTTAATCATGTATTTATGTATCATTAGAAGTACCAATCCTTGAGAAAGGCTATCAGTAATACTTGACTGAATAATGGGTCATGACTCTTGGGCATTCCCTAGATTTGAGGGAAATAATTCAACAGAATAAAGAGATATTACATTAAGCTTCGTTCAGACGGGGGCATAAGTGGTTAAAGCCGAGCTCCGTTGCCAAGGCAACCAGTCTGTACTACATCACAAAATCTGGTTTAGGGCTTGTGGCATAGGGTTCAAAGTTTTCAACTTTATGCCGAGTTTGGGATAAGCGTCGACCAATCAGTAAAGCTAAAACGAAGCGCCAATCTACAGAAGATTTCGCTGTTACAAAACAAGCAGAGCGAACGCGGGAAATCAATCGAGCAGGAGAACAGTGCTGGAAATTTGTAGACACATCCACACATGAGCAAATTTAGCTTCTTTCATTGACCACGGCTTAAAGCCCGTTCTCGCAAGTGTGAACTGAATTCCCGTATTTTATGCCCTTATGACTACGCCTCTATGCCCTTTACGCTGCCGTCTGAATGCAGCCTTACATAAAAGGTACATATTACAATTGTTCACAAGAAACTAAAATAAGATACATTTGCTCAGAAATGATTAGAATAAAAGTATTGCCTTTATAACAGAATTGTTGCAAGTTTTTACTCACAATTATGGTATTGTGTTTTAAAGTAGATTTTATTTTAATGTAATTCTGGTACTAAATAGATTGCATATGCTGCCCGAAATCCATGGTTGTATGAAAGATCATAGTTGCACACAAAACACAACATAATTTTCTAAACATTTTGAAGTAACTGAACATGAACATTTTGAAGTAACTGAACCGTTCTTCAATTTGAAAGCAATACTGTAAGTAGATATTTCTGTCACAAAATTTCTTGACGGGGTGGGGGGGGAACATACACACAAGAATCATACATAAACATTTAAGGTACATGTACATACACTTCAAAATGAAACAGATTAAAAGCCTGACAGTTCTCACAACGTGCACATGACACCAGCACAATGGTTCGAGTCGGTTTGACATATTGATTTTTATGTCGACACAGCTGTTGGAGTATGACGATAAAACCATGACTTTTGTACAGTCAAAAGCATTGGTCTTTGACTTATAACACATAGAACAGTTGCATGATTCAAACTTGGCATTTTCCATGGCAAATTTCGTCCCACCTGATTTTAGAAGAGGGTAGATACCAGTAACAGAAAATCCATAACAGTTGACATTATACATCGCACAAGTAATATATCCTTATGTCCAATACATTTGCTATATTTGTATCATGTAACAACGGAATTATAAGACAATATGACACATTCAATAAGACTGGGTGAAATGATATAATTGACATATATACTAAAGCTGAGAAGACACTCTTAACTATATGTATTGTTGCATTCTACAGGTCCGTGGATTTGGAGTGATTGACAACAACACTTGATGAAAAAACAAAACACAATTTATTTCATCAGTATTACACAGGAAAGTTCCAAAGGCATGACAGCCATTGGAAAACCATGCTACACATGCTGAAACAATCAGCAACACAACCTTCAGGCTATAACGAAGAAGATAGCTTCACAGTAAAGCACAAAAGTACAGCTCCCGACTTGGTCAATCGTTCTCGGAACTCAACACACTTAAGATAAAACGCGACAACGCACTACTCAGGATACACTGCTACTCCATGTACAAGCAGGGTTTATATAGCTTTTGAACTGCCTTCGAGAACATTTCAGGGCAAACCAGTAAGAATTTATTTCAGAATGTTCTCGCTCCATCTGTGGCATGTTGCCAAATGGGCAATTTCAGGCCAAATCCAGCAACCCTAAACCCACTTTGCAGGAAAGCTATCTTATTGCAGCCAAGCAATTCGTAATATATATGTACACACACTTTATTAAAAAAGTTTATTTTGAAGCATTTAATTATTCCTTCTGTTTTCATACAGGCAGAATATCCATTTCTGGCTTGATTAAGCTCCTTTAATTCTAAATTCAGTATTGCTAATCAACATACCACATCATCAGATAACAACAAAAAAACTACAAAAATGAACAGAAATTTATAAATAAATCATTCAAGACAGTTTCCTAACTCATACGCTCAAAAAAATCAATTCCCAAAATCTTCATTTGATATGATAAGAAAAATTACAAAATATCTAGGCTAAGTCAAAGCTAAGATTGCTATCTATGCTAAGATTTGAGGGGATATACAATTGTTCGGTATACTTGCAAGTAAATTTATAAAAGTTTTAGAAAACTAACCTCACAATTAGTACAGTAATGCGCTGCTTCATTTTTCCCTCTTCCATGCCATTTGACATCTTTCTTTAATTCCTTTAAGAAGTCTAATGTCATTTGGCACTGCCGAAGAGTTCGTAAGAGACAGTACCTATATTTAAACATATGTAAACTTAGAAATTATGCTTAAAAACATACACAAATTTATATAAGTTATCATAATAATACACAAAGAACTGTTCTCTAAGTTTTTCCTATGTGAAACTAGAAAACAACTAGTAGTGGAAAATCTAAACACATTCATAAAAATTTACATGTAAGAAATATAAATAAGAAATATGTGACTGTAATGAAAATGTGACTATGATAAAATGTATATTTAATAATATTTGTTGTATAACCCTTATTTAAGTATTACTTATATTTACAAAATACATACAACGTATTTATCAATGTAATATTTCTCAAGGGAGACCTGAATTACTGACAATGTATTTTAGATCTGGTTTTGGCAACAGTAAGCTACTTGCTTTGAACTGCTTCAGTCGTGATGTACAACTGTAACTGCTCAAAAGGTGACGAAAAAATTTAAAAAAATAATTATTACTGTTTGATAATGTCTCTTCTCTTTACTAAGGGGCATAATATCAGCAACAGACCTTATGGAATGAGCTTACTGATTCTTTGAAAATTATATAGTAAATTAATTATCTAAAGCTTCCAACTACAAAAATTTCAAGTCTAACATGCCAAAAATTTCAGAAGTGGTGCCACTTCCCAAAATATTTATACAAAAGGTAATTTTGACAGAGTTAACACTACCTTTTCACATACATATATTCTCATTTCAAGTTATGCTAAACACTATATTGAACAGTCACTCTAATTGAAACTTTAGGGTTAGAGGAAGTTTGTCAAAAATACGAAGGCAGGTAATGAAGAACAAAACCAATAGAACTTGTAATGGAATGAATGTGTCAAAACGGCACTTTATTGTGGAACAGAGTACCGTTGAGCCGAAGAAAAAAGTTTTCAGCTGGTTTAAAATGCCACTCCCCGTGCAGATTTCAAATGGTATTCATCATTCCATGAATGCAAAGCTCGTGGACATGCATTTTATCTATAGGACTGCATTTAAAACAGAGCGGCTGCTCCATTTCTATCTGCAGACTTATAGATGAAACGCATATCAACGAGCTCTGCTTTTGTATAACAATCACTGTAAATCTGCAAGGGTAATTAATGGCAAGTCATGCCAGCAGAAAGTTTCTACTTTCCACACAATAGCACCTTAAACCCTCTCAACACCACATCTGTGAATGAACATTTCACTGCGAATCTGTTTCTTTTGATCCCTTCTATTTGCCTTTATATTTTTCCAGTACTTTCTGAGCATCTTATTAATTATATTTCTGAGCACAGCCAGATAAGTGATGTTATAAGCAATTAACACTTGGCTGCTGGTCATGTTAGCTCTAAATTTACATACTTTAAAAGAAAATTTAATCCCATTCATCCAAATTGTGATTATAAAAGCCTTCTAATGATTATTCTGCCATTTAATTTATAATCAGATTTTTCTGACACACATTTAATAATTCTTATCACAACTAATTTATAGTTTATCATCGAATTTCAACATAACAGCTACTATGGAGCATAAGATCATAAAATATAAATCGGAATCACTGCTGCATTTTATGGAAATTCATTTGGAAATGATGACATTTATATTTTAAAATAAAAATCTTTGAAGTGTTTTTCCAAAATTATTTCAAAAGTTACACCTATCACAACTTTCCAACCCATAGTGGAAGAAAATATTTTGCCTCTCTGTTTTGTATCAAAATGAAGTAAAAGGCTGGAGTTTTTTAATATCTGACAATTTACCAAAGTTATTAAAAATATTACCATTTCTGCCATTTAATTTATAAATATTAATTTTGTCAGTAGTAATTTTTTATTATTAAGCTTTAATTTTCAACAACTTAGATGTTACAAAAAAATTGCTGTTTTTTAATGAAAATGTATTTCATAAAAACATTAAATTTTAACCAGTAAGTTACTATTTATTAATGAAAAGGAAATTATAAATTTTTAGTTTACGTATGAATAAAAGCAACATATGCAACTAGTTGCCATAATTTAAAGGTAATGGATATACAGAATACTTACTTGATCTGTTCAAAGAGTTTGCGGTCAGAAAGCTTTAAATTTCGAGCCAGATTCCATGTTAGATGAGCCATAGGAACAATTGATTTATAACTCTGAAGTTTATTCCATTCGTACCTCTCAACTGCTAATTGGTACTGTTTAGCAGTCAATGGACCTACATTCCAGGCTATATTGTTACACCATCCCTAAAAATTTTTAAGATGTATTAATAAGTTTTTTTTACAGACAGTAATCATTTAATTTTCTTAACACAATCATTTCTCTTCATTGAGTCAGGAACATGAATAATAAAGAACATAGCATGTTCAATGATTAATCAAATGTGAAAAAAATCGATTCAACCATGTTAATCAATGTTTAAATACTACATGCTCAAATTCATATTTATCACATTCTGAATGAATTCTATGCAATTCTTCTTTGCTAAGAAAAATAATTTAATTCTCAAAATTAAATTCTTAGATTTTACTTTTTTCATGAACGTTTACAAAATTCTTTCAATATATACACATTCTTTAAAATTAGGCATGGATGATCCTACACCTAAAGTATTTCTTAAAAAATATATTATTTTCTCATATGGTCAAAATTAAAACATATAACTACTGTTACTGTAAGAGTTGCAATAAATCTTGAGTTTTAAAAATCTGGAAGTTTCACAAGGACCTATCTCCCACATCAAAACATTTACAATGCATGTTATTACAGCACAAATCATTTATATTTGCCAGAAAGTCTTGCATATCAACAGAAATTATACTCACTCCCTCAAATAAAATACATCAGCTTACCAAACAATGATTTAAACTCCTTTTCAGTATATCGACTTTAATGCCCTTATTCGAGGGTTTCATAATCATTACTTTAAACTAGATTTTGTATAAATGCATGTAGGATTTATAGGGTAACTAAACTCAATATCATACCTGAAAAAAGAAGCAGTTACTTGAAAAAAGTTAATAAACAAGAGAAATTTAGAAATAGTGTTCTGAATTTCACAATTAGTAAATTTGCTAAGGCTCATGCAAGTGTTCTTTGAATTAATGAAAAATTATCATCAAGGTTAAACCTCTTGCTAAGTTCTTATATTAAGTTGTCTGAAAATTGGTCATGCAGTGTTAAAAAAAAAAAAAAAAAAAAAAAAAAAAAAAAAAAAAAAAATTCCTTTAAGTTATTCCATAAAATTAGCCTCTATATAAGGTTGAATTTTGTTTTAATGTCACATACTAAAATTTAATACCGGTTAACAAGTTTCCTTTCTGTATAAATAATAGTTTTTTTATCTTTTTTAAGCAAATGATTAAGCATCACCAGTCGTTTAACACTACAGGCAAACAGCAATTTTATACTAATATCAGCATCACTTTTGCTAGTCTCGCCATCAGCCAAAACAGAATCAGATCAGAACAATCAAATCCTCTTACGAATTGTGCTATAAAGGCTCGGGTTTTTATAAAAAGAATAAAGCATACTATGTCATCTGGAAGACAAAAACTCTTTTATATTCAATGTAAAACAATTACAAACTTCTTGTGCACACACACAAAAACAGTGGATAAAAATATGGTGTATTCACACAGTTAGCAAGACTCAAACCCACAATTAGAATCATCTGAAATTACTTCTCTGTGTATTTATTTACCTTTGCACTACGTTTTGCTAGAAAAACTCGTTTCTCTAGGCCTATCGCTTCCTTCTTGACGCTGTGTGCGGCCATGGTTCACCCATTCCTGCCAACATCATCTAATAGTGGCATTGCTCTTGCTCTCGCCGATAAGACCAACTCTTTGAGCCCAACTACACGACCTCTCTCAAAATTCTGACATTTGCGCATATCGTTCGCGCACCTGTATGCGAGGCATAGTTACCGTCTACCAGAGTACACAGAATGAAATTCGTGAAGAAATTATGACCTGGAATCCTAATTTCTCCTCTTAAATATCCTGTCAGTTATGCAGATCAGATGCACTGTAGTGACAACCGTTCATTAATTGGCAGCCAAAATGTAAAATTTTGCATTTTCCGTTGAAACCTGTATGTATATCAATTTGTGTCTAATTTCCTTTATCTTCTCGGTGCATCGTGGTGCATCTTTTTTTTTTTTTTTTTTTTGTGTGTAAGAGTGTATGATGCTGTAATCTACTGCCATCAGACTCTAAGTTGTTCTGCAACTTCTAACCACATTCAAAAGGAATCTAAATTATTTTCTACTATACTGGTATTGGATAATTATGATCTAATGAAAAAATATTAGATAACTAGTAAAGTAATTTTGTTCAACAAAGAGAAACTAAATAAATACATGCAAATTATTCCAGCATATTCTTTCTTTCTTTGAAGTATAAGTTAAAGGATGACTGATATAAAAAAACTTTGTGACTTTAGAAGTCACCAATACTATCAGTTTACATGTAAATGATCTTCCACACAATAAAATTAATACTAATGACAGTTTACGTTAAAACTCATATATATTATTTGTTTCAATATTTCAAGCTTCAGTAATCTGCATCTGTCTTTTAGCTTTATTACCATCAAAAATAGATAAATAAAATGTGCAAGATGATTAAAATGTTCTCTACATTTTAGGCACATTTAATTATTGAATTATAATTTGCTGAAAGATTAGTTATAAAAATTTAGTATACTAACCACAGCTTGAACCCAATGAACTGTACCAGCATTAACCCATACCAGATCACCTGGTCTCTGTAAAAAACGATATACAGGAACATTTTCTGCAAATAAATCATCTAAAATGGGCCACCACGATCCATGCAGAAAGTTTAAGCTATTCCTAAAATTGGAAAAAGAAAATTTTATTTAATTAAAAAACTGATCACACAAAACAAATTCAATAACTTAGAATGTATTAACACAACACTGAACATTCAGTTACCTCTCACACATGTTATGAATTACACCCCAATATGGTTCAGGTACTCCAAACCACTCACAATCCCCAGGTCCAATATTAATATTCACAGAACAGAAGTTGTTATTTTCTTGATGGCCAGGTGTCCTGCTTCCAGGAACTTTCATATACAGTTGCACAGTGTTCATACCCAGAATAACATGTCCAACATGACTTAACATGTTACCAGCTGATACCACCTATAAAAGCAAAACTAAAGATCTGTATTTCGCATCAGGTACAATTTAAAAAAAAAAAAAAAAATTATTCAACATAAATACACTACACTGCAGGAAAGAAATTTTCACATTCCGTTCTAAAAGCAGCAATTATTGATAGCAAAATGTTAATAGCTGCAATTAAAATAAAATTAAACACTTTTAAAGGTTAGAGAATAAGCATATTAATATGTGAAAACATATGATGGAGTTTTACTCCAAGTACAAATTAATTAGTATTTTAATTTAAAGTTGGCATAGCTATTAAATAATATGGCCATATAGAGAAAATTTTTAGTAATTAAAATGAGTAAAATTAATTAATATTTTAATTTAAAGTTGGCATATTTATTATATAACATGGCACTCTTGACAAAACTTTTAGTAATTAAGACCTAAAAAATATTTCAGGAAAATGGTGTGTTAAAGGATAAAAGCTTGCAATTGAAATGAAAATAAATACCCTCACAAAAGTTGGCAACTTTGTCAGTTCTTGAAGTTGGGGTCTCCACTTCCTTTCATCTGACAAATCAACATTTGTCCCAAACTTAATTGTTTTGAAAGCACCATTTCTTCTGCCTTTTTTACTTCTGTTTAATGAAAAAGAACAGTAACTATATAACAAGCACATAAATTATATTATAGCATATAAAATTTTCCCAAGTTCAAAACACATATATATATATATATATATATATACACCATGAAATAATAAATTTAAACCATATGAGAACTGAAAACAGTCTATCAAAATTTATGCAATACCTTGACACAGAAGAATTGGAATCACTATCTGATTCACGGGTAGTATGTCCTCCTTGAGCCTTTTCCTGTTCTTCCTAAGGAATGAATTTGATAGATTAGTTCTTGGATAATGAACATGATTTGACAACATTGAAAACAGCTGCTTGCAACCCCACCTAGTTTTACTTCTAATTATTTTTCATGGGAAACTTCAAATAAATATTGCATGCTAAATCACCATTTTATATTAAGCATATTTATATTTACTAGTTTACCTAAAGTCAGTTAATAAAACATAAATAAATACACTTGAATTAAACATAAGATATTTACACTTGTCAAAATAAGCAGTCGATTCTATATTTTCAATTATCAAACCATTTTTTTTCATTGGCACTCATAAAAAATGCAGCTATTATTCAGAGAAATAATTTAATTTCAATATTTAATTTATTAACAAGAACCCTGCCAATCATTCTTCAAAAAACATCTCTCCATTACACACATTTGAAATAGTACATATGCACTAAAAACTAAACTGAAATTAAGGGTACCTTTATTAATATATTCCAACATTTAATGTGCTGCATATTTAACTTCAAAATTTATGTCTGCCATGGGGAAGTTTTAACACAAAATTGTAAAGATTTTGCTTAAGTACACCTTTTTATTTTATGCAAGTTTAGCCTGAGAATTTACATATAGTTTTAGTGTATCACTTGGATTAGGAATACATATCGCATAAAGATAGTGATGGGTTTATGCTTAATTCTCTGGAAGAAATTTAACTGGTAGGCACAGTCCTAGGTCTTCAGCATCTATTTTAACTATAGTGCACCCTGTTACCTCTCATGTGCATGGTGTTACTTTTACTACATTTTCTTAAAATACAACTATAACCATTTGTATGAATAATTAATGATGGAGTTGAAAAAGGTTCATGAAACGCTTTACTTATGGGCCTGTACAGAAATCAACCACATTAATTATACACAAAATCTTTAGTATGCCAATGAAAAGTTAAAAAGAAAAAGACATGTATTGTAGTTTTCCATTATTACATGGGAAATAATTAATAAAACTGCATCAGTAACTAAATTTAAAGATGTAATACATTAATACCTTCAAACACCATGATTTAGCCCAGCCATTCACTTTCGTCCTATACTTTAGTTGTTTGCAAATTCTGTTTTATAATATGTTGGAAATTGTTTAGCGTCACTTTTCACTATCTCTAGAAAAATTATAACTACTGTCTCCTGTATCACATATATTTACAGTTATATACATTTTAATAATTAAAACTGGAAGAGGCTAAACAAACATAAGTAAAAATTACAACTCATTTCTACATACAGTAATCATTCAAATGTGCCTACTCAAGTATCAGGCAATTTAAATCATTAATTTAAGATTATGAAACTCGCAAGAAACATGTGTTCATGAATTTACACAACAAAACGAAAACAGCAAGAAAGAGCAGAATCTGAATTTATTTATTTGTAAGAGTTACAATGTTAAGAAAAGTTATTGTTTTAGATGATGGAAATGCACACACGAGTGGAAAAAATAATACAATATAAAACACACATTTACAATAAACCAATTAATGCAGAAGTAATAACTGCTGACTAATACCTACATAAAATTATATTTTGTCTGAATATTCAATATATCAGGGTCATATTATTCAAATGTAGGGGGGGAAGGGAGCCTAGATGAAATTAATTTTCAACATGTATAAACTTCTATTTTACTTACTCATATTCTTCCTTTTGCATAGCAAATCATCAGAACAAACATTATATGTTTTATTTAAATTATATTAATTGATAATAAGGCTACAGAGAAGTGTCAACATACTCTAAGAGACTCTTGAAAAGATGATGCTTGATACTGTGCATAACGAGCTATCGAGGTATGAGACCTATGACTTTCACAACGCCATACCTGCCGCCTTCTCTCAGTGTCCCAGTTTTCATCTGATGATTGCATTAGCTGTCAATACACAAAAATAGCAGTGTCAGTTACAAATTTACATAAAAACACATGCCAACTAAAAGATATTCATATTACATACTTGAGTTCTAACTTCAATTGTGTGATCTGGATTTGCTTCAACTAATGTCTTCGTTGAAAACAAGCCAAGATCTGAAACAGATTATAAATATTCATAAAATCGTCGAATCAACTGACATAGCTGATTACTTTAAATACAGCAAAATGTATGGGAAAACAGAAACGTTAAAAAAAAATGCTATCACGTTTGCCACTAAGTATTTAATAAGCAACTTCAATACATGATATGAAAATGGGAAAAACTTTCCCTTTTCATGCATCTTGCCCTGTGCTGCTATTTGGCTGCATCAAATGTTTGCTGTTTCTATTCCTTTAAAGAACAGTCTTCTCAGAATGATTTCTGATGTTAAATAAAATTTAGGACAGGGAAAAAAGATACAGCACTAAAAAAAAAGCCAGGTTTCCACCAATTACCCCCAAAAAATTGTTTTGCCACATATAAACTTTTGCACAGGATTATTTTTAATCAATCCTTCCAATCATATCAATCACATAAAACAAAACAAATTCCAAATTTCATTCTTTAACCCCTCTTTTGCACCAAATATCATGCAGATGTGCCAGCATGAAGTTTACTTACTTCCTAGCTGGCATACTACCAGGACAAAGTGTCTTTTTGTTTACCCGCTCCCTACATCAACACATTCATGTTAATTTTAGAACATTTTAGAAACTAATATTTTTGGCACAAGATGGCATCTTATGTCAATAGAATTTGTGATACAATCAAAAGTCGTTAATTCGGACACCCATAATCCGGAATGATCTATAATCGGGACATCAAAGCTAAAATCTTTCTGCGCATGCGTCGCATAAGCATTTTACGCGTGCGCACAAGACATTTACTGTTGGAAAATATAGCTTACTTTTTTGCATCATCTCTCCTCCTTGAAATGTTTATTTAGGTTAGTCCTTATTTTAATGTAATATAGTAGTTACTTCTACTTCTTTTTCTTGCTGCCACTGTTTGTATTGAGAACGGACTGTTTCAACCTAATTGAGATGCAAAAACGAAACATGATTTACATCATCTGAAAAGCCGATTCGTGCCGATAGCTGATTGGTTGCCGTGAGATGACGTCATTTCTACTTCTGCTATAAGTATCTCGCGTCGCTCTGGCTCAACCCTTCTAGTTCCTGGTTTCCCAGCAAGTGAGTGAGCGGTTCCAGGCCCTTCAAAAGGATGCATGCAGTCCGGTGAAAAAAAATGCCTTGATTCCGTTTTGCGAGATGATGGTTCCAGATTAACGTTCTTCGGTTCCAGAGGCTATCCTGTGAGTGACTGCCGTGGACGGCATCCATGTTTCTTCAATGAAGGCGGAATTAAAAATACGTGAGCGACGATGATTCCTTGTGCAAACGGAGTTAGGCCGGTTTTAAGTGTTTTCACATTTAAATTTTCAGGTGTTTTTCTTGACCATTGATTATGGACTTATTGAATGGGTAGCCAGCTTTATTTTTAGGCCGCATAGTCACTGTTTAGGACATTTTTTGTTTGTATAGAATGCCAGTGTTTTGGAGTACAGGTAAAAATATTTGATGAATGATGATTATATTATATTTTTCCTAATACTCTAATATTGTTGACATTTATTTTTGTGTTTTTATTCTTTATTATATTGTTAATAAATTGGTGAAGTTCAAAATCTTTTTTTGTCTTCAATGTCTGCACAACATATCTCAGGGAGCTTTCATTGCTACTACTGCTAAATGTTTAATTTCTTTAAAACTTTAAACTTTGCTTTAGCATCATTTACGACTGCGCATATGCGTCTAATATATAACGGATGGTATAAGCTAAAATTATCTAATTATCTATTTCAGTTAATGTTGACGATTGCGTTGTTCCTTAATCTTCGAATTGGATCCAGCTTATTATTTTTTACAGACTGTAAGAGCAATTTTATAAAAGTAAGCTTGAACTTTTGATTATGTCAAATAGAATTTCCGATGCTGGAGCTCCCAAAGGATCTAGAAAGCGAAAGTATGTTTCGATGTCCATCAAACAAAAAGAATTGAATTGCTGCAAAAAATGGATAAAAGCATATCCTTTGTTTATCTAACCAGTTCCGAAATCTGTTTATCAATTTTCACGCTGCTCTGCTCGGGGGAGGGGACGTCGCGACGTGCGCAATGAACTGGAAGTTGGTCTGTCAGCACTACTATTATCTTCATCTTCTGGGCAGATGTTTTTATTTTATTCGGCTTATAATTCCTTACTAAATGTAGTAATTTCAATCTCGATGTACTCCGTCTTCGATATGATTTAAATCAAATTCCTCGTTCATTATAAATATCACGAGTACACATCAAACATAGTTTTCTGGTTGCAATTATTCTAATTTCGACTATGCGTAAGTATGCTTTACACATGCGCGCGTTGAAAGAAATGTTTAATAAAGTAAACAAATAAATATTAAGCTTCTTTTTTTGTAAATTTTGATACCCTTTAGATCATAATTGCTCATTATTTTATGAATTACGGTTTCCTATTTTTAATTTTATAATTTCTGCATGCCATCTTACCAGATTTAAACTGATGATCTATAATTCGGAAAAATCGATAATCCGGAATCGCCGAAGTCCCGACGAGACCGGATTAAAGACTTTTGACTGTATATATAGGTTTAACCTTCTATGTGTAGCTAGCTTCCACTTAAAATGAGACAAAGATGACACACATACACTTGGATTTTGATTATATAAACATAAAATGAGAGGCATGTTCTTGATTCGCCGGCCTCCCAATAACTATTAAAATTCACATGCAGTATTTATTAATGAATGTTATGGAAGTTTTTTTTTGGGGGGGGTCTAAAGTGTTGGGTGTTTTTTTTAAATGTGTGCATGGTATTTATTGATAAATTTTATAGAAGGGTTCCCCCACCTGCAACATTTGGTGTTTGAGTGCGCAGGCATGCTTATCTAATTGAGAATTATTCCTTCTGTATGCAAAATGTTTGTTTTAAGCATTACAAATGTTGAAGCATTGGAGATCTTTAACAAATTATATGTATCTAAACCAGGAAATATCTAACTTATTGGTTATATTTGCAATGATGATCCTTCGATTGTTCATATTCAAGCAAAAATAATCCAAAAAGGCAAATGAGCTATTATGAATTCTAGGTTTATACCATACCACTGTATGTAGATCCTTACTTTGAAATTTATCACACTGAAAATGAATTTTCAGTAAAATGTGTATTGTTAATTAATTGCTTTGTCAAAAGTCACTAACAAGAAAGTAAATACTGGGGGGGGGGGAAACTTCAATGTGCTAAATAAAAATATTTAAAGAAAAAAACTCAAGTATATGAAGTATGTAATTAAATGCATACATAAAGCATATAGTGCATATATATTCTACAGAACATTATTAAACAATGTGTTCATCTTTCTGTAATTTCATAGATTAGAAACAAAAAACTCTTAGGCCCTGGGGAGATGCTTGCGAAAGAAACATCCGGCCCAACAGTATGAGTATGTTTACACTTTTTTTTCCCAAAAGAGTTAAAAAGAGCTTCTCTCACTGCAAGATTTGTTTGCTCTGAAGTCACTGCAAACATTTTTCAACTTCAGAAAAAGAACTTCTTTTTATAGCTTTCCTTGTTGATGGGGAAGGTGGTCTCGTCGATAACACCACATTTAAACACAATAATGCATTTTAACATTTTTTGCAATTCTAATTAACACTCCGGATTATCGCTGGGAAAAATATATCTGGTTATCTTTACAATTTCAGTTTCAAGGACATGATATAAACTGGTGTTTGAACAAAATGTGCTTGCTTCTGCAGAATCATCTAAGAAAGTACAATCAACTTACATCAAAGCCTGTCTATTCACCAGGATCACCCAGTGGAAAAGAATCATAGTGATACAATTACATTTTTAAATTGTGCCTACAGGTAAATGTAATCATTACCTCTAACAAAGGCCCTTTCAATAAAACATTTTGATGAATATGGACTTTTCTTAAATTCACAACTGACTACCGACAGCCTTCTAATATATTTGAAACACTGCCAATGTATCTGCCCCCACCGTACAAAAACGTTATAAGAATGGAAAAGAGTAAGACTTATTTTTCATGATTTAGAGTATAAACTGGGATTATCAAGCACTGTGCTTTATATTTATGTGAAATGACAAAAAGAAAGTTCAAAACCAGACTTTCAAGCTCAATTTTTAACACAAAAATAATTCTAAACTGTTTATGTAGAAGGCTCATAATGCAGTACAGAGATTGCTACTAAACTGTTTCATTTTCTATAAAAATAATAAAAACTGAAAAATTTTAATAACTTATTAAATAAGGATAAAATATTCATGAAATAGAGACTTTTTCCGTAGCTTTAAAGTGGGAAGGGGGTAAAAACTCATCTAGATTTTCTCTATAACAACCATTCCATTCCAACCATTTGTGCAAAAAAAGTCCCCACCCAACCGAGAGCACATAAAAACATTTCCTTCCTAGCAACTACTCATCATTACATCCTTTCTCTTTAAGTTGAGGGGTCATCATACTCAGTATCAATTTTGCATTCTTGTGTAGGTGAAGTGAGAAATAAGAGAAAGAATCTGCAGAATCGACAGTTGTGCTGCTCTGCCGGGCAGAGTAACCATTTTGCAAATTGTTTTTCTATCACACAGGAAGCATTAGTACAGAGAATACCAGGACACCGATAACCGAGACACTTCCAGAAGACAGAAGAGTACACCAGATGTACAGTGATCGGACTGAGAAGAGCAGGTTGGTCCCGGCGAATCGTTGTGGACAAGCATCTACACGTGTCTATCGTGTACTGGCCGTGGCAAACATGGTTGGAAGAAAGGGATGTGGCACATTCCAGAGGTAGCGGTGCTGCCAGAGTGACATCAATATGAGTGGACTGGCACATCAGCATGATCCTTGCAGCCACTTCTGCTGACATTTTGTGACAGTACACACTCCTGATGCTTCCATACTGACCAGGAACATTATTCTGTAATTGGCAACCAGTTGCCTAAACACAAAGCACCTGTTAATAAGGTTGACATTAAACCAACAGCACAGGCACATCCGTTTGTGATTGTGTTGAGATACAGCCATTTGGAGTGACATAATGTGGTGTTTTCTAACCAGTCATGCTCTTGTGCAGTGACAGTCACCATTTCTGACTCTGGCAGGCCCAATCTAGCCACAACTAGTGCACTACATTGCACAACAATGCACCATCATGTTTTGAGGTGTAATTTGCCTGATAGCAGATCACCACTAGGCTCTATTGCTGGCACTATGACGAGCCCAACAATATGTGGATGATGTGCTCCCTACAGTAACATTTTCCTTTCTTCAGGAAGATCTATAGGAAAATTATAGGAGGATAATGCCAGACTGCACACAGCATGCTTCAGCCAACATGCCCTGGAAGGTATCTGAGTACTTCCCTGGTCACCCATCTCCCACCCACTGAACATGTCCAGGATATGATTGGACGTTGGTTGCATGCGTTGCCACTGCCACACTCAGAGACCTAACTGTTGCACACAGTTAACAGGGAATGGATATTGATCCCTCAGGAGGTAATAGGCATGCTCATTGTGTCTGTATCTTGATGCGTTGCAGCCAGTATTGTCACCAATAATGGTAGCCCTACAACTTACTGAGCATACTTTACAGTTGCTCTTTATATAAGTAAATCATGTTGTAATAAACATACTCCAACTTGAAAAATAAGTATACTCAAACTGAATGTTCTGAATGGTGTTTAAAGGAAATGTTCAAACAATCAAGTTTCCTGCCGCTCGATTATTTTATGGGCCACAGTCAAAGATGAAGTGTACCATCATAGATCACATAACTCTGACACACTTTGGGATGAGATTCAAGTGGGTGTGCACAGAAATCCCACTGGACGCTTTAGTGTGAAGTACAGAATCAGTCATGACTCATACTAAGAAATGTATCGCTGCTGAAGACCACCATTTTGAACATTTAAGCACCCTTTGGAACATTCAGTTTGGCCAAAGAGTATACTTATTTTTTATATTGTATTGTAGCCCTACTTTTCCCAGAAATTTAACCTTGTTGGTTAAAAACTAAATTTTCTATGACAGTTCTACATTTTTCTGACACACCCTGTATTAATACACATAAACATTTACTCATACATGTTTGTTAATACAGATATTTCTGGAAACCAGTTTGTCACTTTCAAAGCATTCACCACCCTCTCTAAACAGTTGCATTCAATGAAACTATTTTCTGTAGATAATACTCCTATTCATTCTATGGCATGAAAAATAACTGAACTAGACTGTGGTCTAGTTGACTGTAGATATTATATTAAGGTCTAAAATAGGTGAAGTCCTGTCATCTGCATAACTTGAATTTGGATGCTATGCAATCCTGCTCTTATTGGTTTCTACTCCATTACTTAAAAGACCTGTTATAGGCAGATGACCACACATGATTTGCAGATATTGTGTTTTAAGAGACACTTAAATAACCTCAAGATTTTTTTTTACACCTATACAGAAATTATCTTTTTAATTCTGAATCAAAGCTTCAATACACTTTGAACTCTCAATTAATTGAGGACCCATCTAAAGAAAGTGTTAATGTTGTTTACGATGGATTGGTAGAAGAATTACAAAGCATCAAAATAAAATACAACTGTTTCATAATAATAATTTATATAATAACAGCAGTGGCAGCTAAGGATGCTATAATATTTAAGTGCTTGAAATCCAAAATGTATAAATATTGTTAAATCACCCAGTAAAGGTAAACTGCTCAATCATAAAAATAAACAAAATGCATAGCTGTTAATCTTGTGTTTTATTATAGTAATCGTATGTACTGCGAAACGGTGGATAATTGAGAGGTGCTATTGGCTTCTTTCCTTTTGCCTTAGCATAGGCTTGCCAGCCTTTACATTTTTATAGAAATCATAGCAACGTAAATTTGTTAAATGAAAAATTGCCGAGTAATAAAATGATGCTTTATAAGATTAGATAATCCATCTTAAAAACAAAAACTTTACAAATTTGAATTTAGATACTATTCAAGTTTTTTTTTCCATGTATTGTTTTTTAAAGTTATTTATACGAGGGCTATCCAGAAAGTAGATTACGTTTCCGTCTGTGTCCGCTAGGGGCGGGGCTAGCGCGGCCATCTTGGGGTCAGAGCGTTGCGCAGCTCAGTCTGCATCTAGCCGTGCTAGTGAGAGGTTCGTGCTGTGCTCCGTTCAGATACTGTGACGGTTTGAAATGTCTGCGTTAATTGAAAATCCCGCGAGCTGCGAGGTGCGCTCAGTAATAAGGTTTCTGACTGCAAAAAACTGTAAACCGATAGAAATCTATCGGCAGCTTCGTGAAGTGTAGTGGGACAACATTATCACTGAAGGTGGAGTGCGTCAGTGGGTCATAAGATTTCAAAATGGCCGAACCAATGTTCACGACGAAGATCGAAGTGGGAGACCCAGCATAGTGACCGCCGAACTTCTCGAAAAAGTCGATGCTAAAGTCCGTGAAAATCGAAATTTCACAATGACGGAACTTTCTTTGAGTTTTCCACAAATTTCGCGAAGTTTGTTGCACGAAATCATCAGCGAAAAGCTTGGTTACCACAAGTTTTGTGCAAGATGGATTCCAAGAGATGCAAGAAGAGGTAACGAAGTGGTTGAAGGCGCAGGCGGCCGAATTTTTCGACGAAGGAATTTCCAAGCTCGTACATCGCTACGATAAATGCCTTAATTTGTATGGTGACTATGTAGAAAAGTAGTATTTGAGTGTGGCTTTCATCTGTATATAATAAAATTTGTTTCCTATACTTTGTTTATTTTTTTATTCCAAAACGTAATCTACTTTCTGGATAGCCCTCGTAACTACATTTCCTCATTTCTAATGATGCTTACTCTTCCATTATGTACAGTGTTTTGATTTTACTTTGAATAAAGTTAATTAATTTATTCCCCAGATTAAACTGTTTAAAAACTTAGGTAAATTATAAACAGTATTTATCTATTAATTATAACATTAGTTATAATTAACTAAAATAACTATTTTAACATTTAAATGAATAGAACGATATGAAAAAAATTCTAAATTAAGAGAATGATATATATAAAACAAACATACTTGCTGCATACACAAATATTAATACAAATTCTACACTTACTAAACGCATTAATCTATACTGTTCAATATTAACTACACATGTGATTAAATCGTAACAAATGCTCTATTTACTGTACAAACCAACAGTGAAGAGCAAAATACAGGTTAAGAGAACATGCAGGCTTCTTCTTTTTGGATGCTTATCATTTACAAAGTATATTAACTGTTCTATATGAAAGCAACAGACATGCACATTATCTAGCTTTCGAAATCAAATTTATGCAAAATTCTTCAAAAAGGAACTGCATTTGTGATTCTCTGACCAATACATTCGACAAAATATGATTGTGTATCTGCAATGTATCATCATCGTTTGCTAAACATTATAACTTGTAATCTAGATCCACACAATTACAGTGCTAAATAAATTATAAACACATAGACGAAAGAGCACATGCATCATCTCAGAAACCTAAACAAGCAAAGTTTCTAGGATGTATTTAAGGATTTGAAACAATCAAAATCAAGAAAATTCAAGACAATCAAGAAAAATAATATGCCTTTCATGAAGCTACAATATAATAAATGGAATTAAAGCAAATGAGGCAAATAAGTGTAAGTGATTTAATAAATTACTGTCTTCTTTATTTAAATTTAATATTGACTTTAATTTACATTCCTAATTTCAAATAAAAATAAGAAAGATTAATAATCATGTATACTCTGCACTCACAGTTTGCACAAAATTTACTTGGGAGACAAAGAGTTTGAGCCTATTTTCACTTGCACACTTTTCTTCCACTATGCTATATCTACCAACACTTTCAAAGATAAATATAGCAATAAATATGAAAAGAAAATGCATATATTACCAAGTTTTAGAACACTTGTTAATCCACGTATCACAGCTATGGGATGAGCTAAACAAAACTCTTGCAGTTGTGGAGAAAAGGCTTCTTTTTTGTTTTCCAGCTGTAGGAGTAAATATTGTTAATAAAAGAACTGGAAACTTTAAATTTTCAATTACAATTATTATTTTTCATATAACTGGTAGCAGTAAATAACTGTAAAAAAAATTATAATATCAGAAAGTAGCTATAGTAAATACTATGATGGCCCTTATAATTGCAATACTGCACAGTCAATCGACCACCACCTACTTTCAATGTCAACGTGAAATAACAAATCACAGAAGGCAAGTGGAGCATATACAAAGAGTGTCCAAGACAATCAGAAAACATTGTAATCACTGGTGTAATGCAAAAAAGGAGCAATTTATCTGACGTCCAAAAGGGCATGACCATTGGCTCACATGCCAACATGGGAAAAGTATACTGTGCACGACAAAATGGCACTACCCAAAATCAGTGACCTGGAAAATGTGGCTATAGATGATAAAAAGTGAATGATGGCTGCGGAGATGCATCTGGGCTAATTGAGGTGCAACCATTGAGCAACTGACTGCCCAGATGAACCAAGAAGCTACCAACAGTGCTTCCTCAATGACGGTTCAAGGGAATGTTGCCACATATGGACCTCCACAGCAGACGCCTGGTTAAAGCACCTATGCTTGATTGCAGTTCATTGGGAACAAAGGCTCGACTTTGCACACCAGTATCACAACTGAACGTTTTAATAAGTGGCAACAGGTAGCTTTTTCAGACGAATTTTATGCTCAGTTGGACATTAGTGTATATACAGCATGAACCGTCGGAAAGCAAATACCCTGCAACAATTGTCAGAAGGGTGCAAGATGGGAGAAGGGAGCACTATGGTCTGGAGAATACTTTTGTGGCATTCTCTGGGTGCACCTCATCATTGCGGAAGGTACAATGGATCAACAAAAATTTGCATCTGTCCTTGCGGACCATATCCACTACTATACCGTCTGTCAACAGGAAAATGCTAAGTGTCATACAATTTGCAGTGTACATGCATGGTTTGAAGAGCACCGGGATGAGTTAACTGTACTCACCAGAATCACCAGTAAGAGAATCTATGAGACGAACTCAATCGGGTTTGTCGTGCCATAGATCCTCAACAGCATAACCTAGAGCAGCTGGCCACTGCACTGGAGTTGGCATGGCTCAACACCACTGTGAACACCTTCAAGAACCTGACTATCTTCCTGCACGTCTTATAGCGGTCCGCTCTGTGAAAAGTGGTTATTCTGGCTTTTGACAGGTGGTCACATAAATGCGACTGGACTGTATATAATAGCAGGGATTGGCAATGCAGTGCCTGCAGGTATCAAGATGTCACAAAGCAATTTTAAAGTGCCTAGCTTTAAATGTTTAAATTCTTATTTTATGTCACCATTTTAACAACTGTACAAATCATACAGTTAAATTTTTGACAAAAACTTAAATCTTAGCAATATCTAGATGACACTAAATGACTATACGAATAAATTTTTTATCACTATAAACATCTGATTTCGCATGCAGTGAATTATTTTGTGTTCCCATTTTCCTCATATACTCTGACAACCACAGCATGCTGTTCATGCACAAACTTGTCATTCAATGAATTTGTATTTCAAGTAGCTGTGAACAGAATATGTATCCTTCCCTTCAAAATCTCAATCAATAAAACTATGAAAAGATACAGACAACAATCTGCTTGGCTAACATTATTACATACATTATTGCAATAACTTATTACACGCGTTAAATTATTATTACATATATAAAGTGATTATATTATTCATTGTATTATATATACACAGCATCAAGGTTTGCCAATTTTGCCTCATGCAAAGATTTCCAGTTTCGGATTCCGGTGTTAGAATCACTGTTGCTGTAAAATTTCAACAGCTTTTCTTTATTTTTCAGATTATCATACGCAATCGTATCGCAATTCCATACAATTCTGCTATAAAATGCACATATCTCCATCTTTTGCAGAATTTGCACTTTTTGCATTACCGTCAATGCAACGTGTTTACGTTTTTCAACGTTACAAGTAGTAAAACCATGAGTGTGTTTCTTATCTGTAATTGTATTAAAAAGGGCTGAAATTTAAAATATTCTTAATTTATCTACAAAATATCTGGATAAAAAAGAGCAGCACTAAATGATCTCGTGAAATAACAAAGCTTAGAAAATACAACAACGTGAATCGTGAACTTGAAAGAAGAGTTGAGTGAATGGTCTGCTTTCTTACCTCGATGCAGAGAAGAGGAGAAAAAACTTTTATGATGATGTCAATAATTGGGTATTTCCATTATGACTCATTATTATTCGATAATTATGACGCCATTATTCAGTAAGTATTTTTTCCTCGATATTCCATACTCAATGCTGCGGTTTCCAAAACCTATAAACTGAATGTTTTATGTTTTGAGAGGCAACATGAATTTCAGGAGTTGGTGGATTTTCGGTATTTGACTGTAATAACCATAACTTGGTACAGCTCATTATAACTTGTTTATCCAATATACCCAAATACATATGACAATCTTTTTATTACAAGGAATTGGTGAAATAAATTAGTCATGCTACCATTTTTCCTAGTTGATGCTGCAATTCTAATGGCCAGCCAAATACATAATTCCTTCCCCCTAAACAACAACAGCACAAAGTCAAAGATGTGCAAGTGCTACAGCTTCCAAGATTCTGGAGATTTTCAAATTTCAGATTATTAATTTAAATCTACTAAGATGCCATGCAAACATTTCAACACTGGGACTTCACTTATTGTTTAGATTAAATATAGAAAAAAGCTAACCCTCCTTTCTCACAGAGCCAGAGCAGGTGCAACTGAAGCGATCGCTACAGCATCTTTTTATTACAAGGACTGGTGAAATGAATTAGTTGTACTACCAATTTTTCCTTGTTAGTGCTGCTATTTTAATGGCCAGCCATAGGCTACTAAAATTTAGGGGTAGCAAAAATTTTAGAATTTAGAGACGCAGCATTAATTATGGATGGCTGAATTTTTAGAATTTAGGAGAGGCACTAAACAATAAAATTTCAGAAGGTCAGCAACATTTAAGGCAAAATGTGCAGTGCCTGCGCTGCTCAATCAAGACATGAAAGTGTCATCCTGGCCAATACAGTGTGACATACAAAATCAGGCCATGGTGTGACTCCCTAGCCAGCAGTTTTTTAATAATATGCAGAAATTTCAGCTAGTTCAGAAAAAAAAAAAAAAAAAAATCGTATTTATGGCATACCTGTCTCCTTCTGCTATACTCTCCATTCCTAGACTTTGTAAGGGGGAATTTTTTACTTTATTTCATTTACATATTTACATATTTATTTTGGTTGATATTCCAGAGATTTTGAACTTTGTACCGCATTAAAAATTTATTCCTAATACTAAAACTTAGATGAAGTACATAACAAATTTATAAATACAAGGAGCATTTAAAATATACTTACTGATGTACCAGATATAATATATATTGCATCTTAAAAAATTCAAAGTATCTTTTGTAATCCTTTGTTATACAACTAAAGGGTAAATAATGCAAAGTAACTAACACATAGAACAGTTTATATTTAAATTAATCTTTAATGCTAACTGAAAGAAAAATAAGCTCTCTTTAAAAAGATAAAATATACACATATAAAATTAAGTTTTGCTTTTTCAATAACTACATGAACCTTAATTTCAAGACGAATTTAAGTAATGCCCAATACACTTCAAAATGAGATTCTTTGACATGCCCACATTTTGTCTTAGTTCTGTGCAATACACGAAGTAGCCCATTTAGAAATGTACTTCTTTTATTGCTTAACTTAATACCTTGTACAGCATTTACAATGCCATAAGTTAGCTTCATAATTTAAATTTGAACAGCAGTTAAATACAGTATGTGTTTACTCAAGCATTTTCAATGCTCTAGTAACTAAATGCACATGCATATCTGCTACTATAAAACTTACATAAAAAAAAATATAACTATTCAACGCCTGATCACCACTATGAACTAAAGTTCTTTACATAATTGACTCTTGATGAAATCTCAGTTCCTAATGAACAAAGTTTTAAAGTACTTTATCAGATGAGCAATCTAATTTGTGCTAAATCCAAATTATAAACATGAATTCAGTTATAAGTTCAATGCAGTACCCCAACACCTTGATCGACTAAGAGAAAACAATTACATCCTCTTCATTAAAAAAATAAGAATAGGCAATAAAATGGCAATCTTTACTTACAAATACACTGGGTGTTGGAGGCAACAACTGGTCTTTAGATGGAGGTGGATAAGGCGGATCTGGTGGAGATGGAGGAGGACAAAGCTCAGCCATTATACTTGTATTTGATACACCATTTTTTGTGAGCCCTTTACATGCTGCTAAGAGTTGAGATGAACTCATATTAATTGATAATGAAGCAGGATATAATACAGAACGTTCATTTTTCCCTTTGGGAGATAAAATTTCTCCTTTTGATTCCTCTGGTTCATTTTTCTCTTTTACAGATTCTGATTTAAAGTCATGTAAGAGTGCTGATTTTTTGGGTAATGATGACTGAAAGGCAGATGAAAATTTTAAGGCATCATTATCAGACAAATTAGCATCTTTCACATCATGGATATTGATGTCCTGTGTATACACTCCTGTTTTACTCTGATTAGTGCCTTTGGACTGAGATTCTCCAGAAAATTGAACCAAAAGATCTTCAGCCAGTGATGAAGCAATATCCTTCTGAGACAACAAAATCTGCAGATCCTTGTCGCTTATAGCGGTGCACAAATCATGCAAAACTACAGTAGGCTGTGATGTACTTGACACCTAAAATTAGAGACAAGTTTAAAATTTTCATGTCTAGTTTAAATATTAATATGCTAAAAATGCTTTAATACAGATAAATACAGGGAAACCTCTCTAAGATGACCACCTAATAGTGGTGCACAAATCGTGAAAAACTACAGTAGGCTGCGATATACTTGACACCTAAAATTAGAGACAAGTTTAAAATTTTCATGTCTAGCTTAAATATTAACAAAATATTGCTGTCTTCTAAAAATATTTTAATACAGATAAAAACAGGGAAACCTCTCTAAGATGACCACCTAAAACTCCATACAGGTTTTAGTCACATGTAAAGGTAGCCATCTTGCAGATGATGACTGTGATGGGTAAACACTGATTTGCATAATGAATTTATCCTATTTAAGATCCTAGTTTCTGTTAAAAATATTCACAGAGGAATGCAGAATGCAGTGTACCAGTACATTAATCATAATAGCCCAATAATTAATTACAAAGATAAACAGGAAATAATGTAGCTAAAAAACACCCTGCCCCCAAAAAATCTTACCCATAATTTTTTGAAATAAAGCCAAAGAAGAATATTTTTAAATATGAAAGACATAATAAACTGTTTAGTAATTTCAAAAACACTCACAACTGCACCTGTATATAACAAGTATTGATTAGCAATATGTTTACTGGCTGCACTAACAAGAAATCAAAATATAGTTACAATAACTTAAGCAAACAGTTTAAGGATATGATCATTTAATTAAAGACAGCTAGCTATATCATAACAGCCAGATCAATCTCATATGCTTGTGTACACTGCAGGTAGAATAAAATTAGTGATTCAGAAATGATTAATTACACCTTTATCTAAAATGTTTTGCTGTTGCAGTAAGAGTTCAAAATACAAGTCCTTGCTTGTTTTAGCTCATAAAATATTTGACTGGTCGCAAAAAATAAATTTTGATCTTTGTGTAATACATATTTGATGACTCTGTAGTTAAAAGCTGGTCATTTAATAAAAAAAAAATTGCCCTAAATATCAATACTAATGTCCATGTATGTTGTTATGAAATAATGTATATTTTCAAAGTTGATCATTATGAGAGGTTTCACAATCATTTATTTCAGTAAAATGGACAGGATGAAATTATTTAATTACGGACAAGCATTTGAGACTGCCCGTATGCATATCAGTTTTGACCGAGAGCATGTCAGGGAATGAAAGTAAGTATATATGGGTCTCTTACTACTCTTTCCTTAGAGTAACCTTTTAATATCTATACAATTTAAATTGAAAATAAATAATCAATGATCACTATAACTGATAAGACCATAGCACTGAATTTGTCCAAACTACATATCTGTGTAAATCAGAAATTACGATCACTGGTTAAATAAAAGAAAATAGTACAATAAATGCTTCTTATAACAATCACATTTTAAAACAACTAAAGATAATTCGACTGGAAAGTACAGAATTAGTAAATAATGGTAAAAAAAAACGACAAAATAAAAAAGTAAGACAGTTTAGTCTAACTTTTTTATTTTGTCGTAGACGTAGCATTGTTTGCCTGATTATGGTCTATTAGCTGATACGGACAAATGCCATCTGGAAGGACTCATTACAAATTGTTCATACTTACATTACACAAGAAAAACTATAAAATCTCATGAAGCCAGTCAATTTCACCACCAGGAACAATAACCAAGGCAGTATAATTTGATGGCTTTAATGGTAGGCATCATAAATTTTCAGGGAATGGAAATTAAACCCCCCCTTAAACATACCATTTTTCTACACCTTTAGCCCACATTTCTTTCATCACAGATCTTAAAATGCTTTTCAACAGCTGCTAAGGCTTCCCTGTAAGCAACAGTTTAATATATATATATATATATATATATATATCAGTACAACAGAAGACCCTCAAAGCTTTGATCTTACTTAGGATAATTAAGAAAAGGAAGAATATATAAAAAATTCAAAAACCATACAAAAGCTATGAATTTCTTTTTGATTTTCTTAGATATATAACGTATGTATTCTAATTTTATACAGATATATAAAATTATATATAATTTATTAATTATACAGATATATAAAATTATAATATGTTACGTTATAACGTATTATAATTTTATAACGTACGTATTATAATTTATCCTATTTAAGATCCTAGTTTCTGTTAAAAATATTCACAGAGGAATGCAGAATGCAGTGTACCAGTACATTAATCATAATAGCCCAATAATTAATTACCCAAATAGCCCAATAAATAAAGGACATGTAAGAAATTATGTTCAGTATTTTTCAAATATTTGTTTACAGTCAATATTAAATGTAAGGATGTTCTAGTTTGACAACCCACTTCCCTCAAATTATTAATGACTCATTACTTCCAGATAGTCAGTCACAAGGTTTCCTCATTCAAAGTTTCACTTTTTTGTCACTACTTGATGGACAATAATGATAATTTGCTTATATAACAAAAAAGTGCTATTATGAGTTCTAGTCAGAGGAGCAGTTGTTGGCAAATGTTAATGTTGACATGAAATTAACCATAACAATACATTCAAGAATGCATTTTTATTTGAACAAAGTCTTCCACTTTGGATAATTCTTTTCCCTGGTAGAAATTAATTTTCTATCATTTAGGAACTGCCCAACTCAACTTCTCTGTCAAAATCTTGGATAAGAAAACATCTCTGGATCAAAAATGTTGTGTCAGTATGTTTAATATGGTTCATGGCATAAGTTTGTTATCTTTAGCAACCTTACACACATCTTCACTGATTCTGTTAATAGAAAATTACAAAAATTCCATTTACTACACGGTTTCTTAATTTAAACAGCACAGGATTAATCTTCAGTTACAGTACTAGTTTACAGACTTGGGCAAAAATATTTACTTAGCCATAGTTATAAAGGCCATAATCAGCAAAATATGATCACTAGGTATAATTTTTAATGAAGTAATTATAGTTGACAACTTTCCATGTTGCCAAAAGTCAGCAAAGTCATTTTCATTTCACTATTTACATCTTGATAACTTCAAATTTCAGGTGTTGGCACACTTTCAGGTTTGCTGCACTTTGAACATTTGGTTGCTTGACTTTTAATGGCACAAAACCTTGAAGGGTAAGACAGCAAATGGCGAATAAAATCCAAAAAGCACAAGCACACTGTATCAGACAAATTGTTGAAATGAACCTGTAATGCTGATGAAGGCATGGAGAAACGACTTTGAGAAATGCTCTAGCAACAGGTAGAGCAGGATAAAACGAAAATTCAAATCATATGGTAAAAAGAGATGCCTTAAAAATCTTATGAGGTTGATGTGAGAGTTTTCTTCCAATGAGATCTGTTAACATTCATAGAGTTAAAATGATATTCACATTTCTGACTAACAGCAGGTTAAAATGTGATTGACTGAAACAGGAATGTTGCAAGTGCCACAAATAGGCTCATTATCTCCTTTCAAGAGATACCGATATGTCAGTCAGCAGTGACCAATTCGTAGGCGAGTCGGCAGTACATCCTTCTTTCGATTCCCTGTCGACCCCCCCAATACTTTAAATTGGGTTTTACCTGCCTTAATTTGTTCAGTGTCTGGCATTCCCAGAGTTCTTGCCAACAGGACAAGATATGTTTTCTGATGTAATTTCGTATGTCTGTAAAAGGGACATCATTTTCAGAGGAGACAGATAGATGCAGCCTTATTAAGTTTACTACTTTTGATTTCTTTAAAACAAACAAAAGCTGCTCCGACATGATCATGATTCTTTGAGCCATCAGTAAAAATTGCTTTATAGTTAGAATGTCTGTTTCTATGCTCTACGAAAATTTGTTGATATTCGACATCATTGGTACTACTCGTCTTAAGTTCTCCAAAAATTTTAAGTAGGTGTATATTCAGGGAGCAATACCGAAAAAGTTAAAGCTTTTGGGATGCAGATCTTTTAGGTTGAATTCATGAATCAGTGAGTGAATGTGAAGATCAAAAGGTGGGAAACATGAAGAATGTGCTTGGTAGATACGCCAGTACTGATCAAATGTCATAAGTCTGACAGGATGTTCGGCTTGTGACATTACTTTATAATGAAGCTCAATGGACAACCGCTTGCATCTAAATTCCTGAGATGGTTCAAAATAGATGACATATAAACTTTGGACTGGAGATGTTTTGAAAGCCCCACAGCATATCCGTAGCGCTTGATGGTGGATTGGATACAATTTCAGTAGCACAGAAGGTCTTACTAATCCATAGATAACACAGCCATAGTCAAGTTTGGAATGGATTAAAGCTCTATAAATGCGGAGCAGAGAACAAGTTTTGCTCTCCATGAAGTAGTGGCCAGGACTTTCAGTATGTAGAGAGTTTTAGCATATTTTGTCATAAGATTTAAGATATGTGGAAGGAAAGCGAGGTTTCTGTCAAATACAACTCCTAAGAATTTTACGTCTGATTCAACATGGATCAAAGAGCTGTCTGTCAAAATGCAGCTCTGGATTAGGATGTAGATTTCTTTTGTAACAGAAATGCACGCAGACAGTCTTCTGGCTAGAAAATTTAAAAACCATTGTTGTTTGACCACTTTATGATTCAGTTTAAATCAATTTGTAGTTGTCTCTCAATGTATCTCATATGATGACTGTGACAACAGATCATCAACATACAGGGAAACATGCACTGTGGGAGGAAGTTCTCTTAAAATGGAATTAATTTTCAGGCTGAAAAGAGTGACACTGAGCACTGAAACTTGGGGTACACCTTCTTGTTTTACAAATATTTGAGAAAGCAACGAACCAATCTTAACTTGAAAAGTGCAGTCCTTCAGAAAGTTTTGAATAAAGATGTGTAAATTACCTTGCAAGCCAGTGCTGTAAAGGTCATGAAGAGTTCCATGCTGCCAAGTTCTATCGTATGCCTTTACCATGTCAAAGAAGATTGAAACCACTTGATTTCCTTTCACAAATGCTTTGCGTACTGCGGTTTCTAAACACAGGGCATTGTCAAGTGAAGATC